GGGGGAGAGAGAGATAGAGCTGTGGGTGAATGTGTGTTCTCGCGGACGTCAAAATAGCATTCCATTTTGCTTCATTTCTTGCTTTATTGTTTTGATTTTTTTTAAGGATGAACATGAGCCCCATTTTTTTAGGGTCTTCGAAACACGTGAGAAGGTGATTGGTACTAGAGAAAACATGTGATTAGCATAGTTATTTTTCGGCACATTTTAAGATTTGAATTTGGGTTTTCTCACTTTGACGTCTCTTACGTAACCAGTTGAGTTGAGCTATGCCCATCGATTTTTTTCTAATAGATGCTACTCTTACAAAATGAGAATTTTTTTCTAGTTTTTTCAACACTTCATTTTTAGTGTTATTTACTTTATTACAATGTAATACTACGTATAACATATGTTTCTACTTTATTAACCAAATGACGTACAAAGAATCAATATCTTCACTTCCATTAGGAATCAAACTTAAGTGAATTTTTTCATTAATTTTGGAGAGTGGTCTTTTTACCACTCAAGCTAAGAGAGAACTTCATACTCCATATTTTTTAATGTCATTACAATCTAATATTTATTCACAAATCACAATACATTATTTTGAATCAATATCTTCACTTCCATGTGTTCGTATGTGTGTCCATATAATAATATGAGAAATATTTACTTTATTATTTATAATAACACATACTGCATATGAAGTATCCAACAGTAAGACTTTAAATATATCTACGAAAAAAATGACAGTCACACTAAATAAAGTAATACTAGAGTCACAAATACAAATGTCTCAAATTCACATTAATCTTACGACTTTGAGTATTTCTGAACTTCCTTAAGAGGATAAAATGATTTTAAATGATAAAAAGTAAAAATTTAAGTTCATAAACGGAAAACCTATGTACTTTGGAACATTTATGTTTGTAACTCTAACATCTCTTTTTACTTAAGGATGAATGCAAAAGTAAAAGATGCTCCGTGAATTTTTTCTTACAATTCAAATTCTACTCCTTCCGTCTCAATTTAAATTCGACTATTGTCACCCAAATTGTTTTGTTTCCAATTCTCAATATCTTGTACTTACTGTAGTTGTCTGATATCTTTCTTTTCATTTTTGACTTAACACAATTTTAATGTAAAATTTAAAAAATACTTGATTTTTTATTTTTGCTCTTGGCTGTGTAGTAAAATTAAATAACCGTAAAAAACAAGTGATGGATCTCAAGATCCAAAAAAGAAAATAGGATTATGCTATGTGTACCCCAAGACTTGTACCCCAATTTGTACCCCGCAGTTTTGCACCAACATTTTGTGTTGGTGTAAAACTAATTTTTGTTAAACGCACCAACATTTGTGTCTGTGCGAATTTTTATTAAAGCACCAACACTTGTGTCGGTGTAAACCATCGAAATGTTTGTGCAAACTTGTAGTGTACAAATGGGGTATATTTGTTGGTGTAAGTGTAGCATGCTCCAAGAAAATAATACTAATAAAAAGTTATCTCACAATATGTTGTGTATTGAATAATCTTCGTATCTCTCTCTCTTGATAGGGGATCTATTTATACATAGGAAACTGCTAGCCTCATTTGTCCATCACCCCCTCCATTACCACTTAAATAGGCAAAAAATTTAAAAAAAATTAAGTAAATTAAAATAAAAAAAATAAATGAATGGTTATAGAGGGGATGGTGTATAAATGGGGTACACCTTTTGGTGTACCCTAGCATCTCCCTTATACATATTATGAGAAAACAAATTAGGTATCCGAGTCCCAAAAAGAATCGGATCTCACCCCAATCTTGCGCCTCAAGTGGCTATCTCTTATTACAATCTAATCAAAAAATTTCTTGTAGGTATTCCTAATTTTGTAATAAGAATTCACAGGTCCCATTATTTTTCAAAATATTCTCCGAGGTATCTTAAAATATTCGAAAATTAACTCTGGGGTGACAATCCGTTACTCTCTCCGTTAGCATCACTTCTTCCATTATCTTCTTCTTCTTCTTCTTCTTCTTCTTCTTCTTCTTCTTCTTCTTTTCTTTTCTTCTTTTTTCTTTTCTTCTTCTTTCTCTTTCGCCTTCCCGTCCATTCTTCCCCCCACCCCCGTTTTTTTCTTCTTTTACTTTTTGTTTTGTTTTTTTATTCTACTTCTATTATAATTATTATTATTTGTTATTAATTATTATAATTACTTCATATTAATCATTATTTTCTTATTCTATTATTATTATTATTAATTTTTTAACTTATTATTATTACTATTATTATTAAAAATTAATTGTTAGTTTTACCACTCTTTTCTATAAAAACACTAATTGTTATTTAGAAAAATAGCACTTATTATAAAAAACACTTATTATTAATACTGTCATTTATTTTAAACAATTAATTAGTGATTTTACTTCTATACTTTTTTATAAAAATACCACTAGTTATTATTATTACTTTTGATTTTTTCGATAAAAATTGATAAAAGTTAACCCTAAATTAAAAAATAATAATATTAGATATTGATACAAAAATAGTTTTATTAGAACTAATATATAAAATATTTTCAAAATATTACTTTATTGAATTAATAGAAAATATATGTTTTATTTAATTATAGGTCAAAACTTAAAAACGGTTGATAGAAAAAAGTCAAAACCTGACATATGCTCCGAGATAGAGATAGTATTATTTATTTCCTATTATTTTCTTAATTATTATTAAAAATTAATTACGGAGTAGTAATTTTAGTTCTCTATTTTTATGAAATAGGGAGTAACAATCATTATTATTTAGAAAAATAGTATTAATTATTTAAAATAAAACTTATTATTATCATTGTAAAATTTTTTTTAGTAGTTTTACTACTCTAATTTTTCGGAATCCAATGTCTTTCGCATTAGTCATTGGTAGTCGTCATTGGTGGTGGTGTCACGGTAAATCGAGAAAACCAGAGAACTTGAGAAAAGAATAAGATGAATAAAATATGAAGTAATAATAATAACTAGTGGTATTTTTATAAAAAAGTATAGAAGTAAAATCACTAATTAATTGTTTAAAATAAATAACAGTATTAATAATAAGTGTTTTTTATAATAAGTACTATTTTTCTAAATAACAATTAGTGTTTTTATAGAAAAGAGTGGTAAAACTAAAAATTAATTTTTAATAATAATAGTAATAATAATAAGTTAAAAAATTAATAATAATAATAATAATAGAATAAGAAAGTAATGATTAATATGAAGTAATTATAATAATTAATAACAAATAATAATAATTATAATAGAAGAAGAATAAAAAAACAAAACAAAAAGTAAAAGAAGAAAAAAACGGGGGTGGGGGGAGAATGGACTGGAAGGCAAATGGAAAGAGAAAGAAGAAGAAAAGAAAAAAGAAGAGAAGAAGAAGAAGAAGAAGAGGGGGAGGAGGAGAAAAAGAAGATAACGGAAGAAGGGATACTAACGGAGAGAGTGACGGATTGTCACCCCGGAGTCAATTTTCGAATATTTTAAGGTACATCGGAGTATATTTTGAAAAATAATGGGACCTGGGAGTTTTTATTACAAAATTAGGGGTACCCACCAGCAATTTTTTGAATCTAATCTCCTTAAATCTTGAAAATTCTCATGGGCCAATCAGGCCTCCATCAGCGAGTATTGCAAAAATAAAGTTAAAATAGTCTTTAAGCCGCATAAAAGGTGAATAGTCTTTCTATAATTAGAAAGACGCTCCATCCCAAAAAGATTGCAACACTTCATTATTCAAAAATCACGAGAACTTTTATTTATTTTTATATTTTTATTGATTATTTGTAAAATAAAATAATTTTGTCAATATTCAAAAATCACAAAAACTTTTAACGTAATTTTTAAATATATAATTCTTATTTCCATATCAATCTTTACATGAAATAAATTGAAAAAACTTACTAGTAAAAATTTGCTTCGTTTAGTACAATGTTGTAATTGTTTTGGAACGGAGGGAGTACAAAGAAAACAAGAAAAAATGCGGAGCATATAGGAGGGGAGTAGTTATGGAGTACATTTGACTGTATTTTTAATGATAAAGGTGAGATTGTGTGAATTTACTCACAAAAAGAGGCGTAGTGTATTGCCATCCATCATATCCATCTATGAGGAATTTATAACCATATAGAACCACCAGTCTTTGTGAAATAAGATGGGTCAAATCACTGAAAACTCTACGACTAAAAATTGCTTCCTGAATAAGTGTATAATCCAGAGTAATATATATATATATATATGTATATATACACAATACAATGTCATGCTCTGCAGATTGTGCAGAGACAACGTGAGGGTGGTAAGCCAATAGCCCTAAAAATTTCCTCCTCCCAAAGGCTGGCTGCTAAGTAAATAAACAAACTATATGGTAAATCAGGCAAAACGAAGTTAGATGAATGATTCTGCCTGTCCTCCAGGTAACATTCCAAACACTCCAACACTATACTCTCCTTCCCCTTTCCTTTCCTTTCCTTTCTCACAAACTGTGGCCCCGTGTCAAATTATCTCTTCATTACCATTTGGACAATAGTATTCCGTACTAATCAGACGGTGAGTGAACGTGGCAACCTCTTCAAATGATCTCTCTCTCTTTCTTTCTCTATAAATATATATATATATATATATATATATATATATATATATATATATATATATCATCAAGAAGAATGTCTCGAGCAAAGATTTGGGCTCGGGAACATGCAGTGGTGTCCTCTTAAGGAGATGATTTCCAATCAAACTGAAGACTGTTGAAACCATTGACAGATCCAAGACCATTGAGCAGTTGACTTCCCGGGAAATCTTGTTGCTGATGTTGGTTCGTATTCTGGTCTCGCCCCATGGAAGCCCCCATGCCAACCCTTCCATTATTCACAGATCCGCTTCGAAACCCGCCATGGCTGTTGATCCCGTTTCCTATGTTTCGGAATCCAATGCCTGCAGCATTCCCATTCATTCCCACAAGGCAATTGCTGCCATTAAGAACAGGGTTACTGTTTGTTCCCAACACCCTATTCATAGTCTTCGTGTCGCCCCCCGCAAGCTGGGAGGACATCAACATCTCGTTTATGATTTTCTGCACGGAGCTCTGTGACTCGTTAGCCCCCACCATGATATCACCTGGGGAACTTGCAGAATTAATATGTGATCCCGGTGATGATAAGAGATTATGTGAAGTTTGTGGTGGAGGGTTATTATTAGATGAAGATGGAGGATGGTTCAAAGGCTGGAACGGAGAAGGGTTAGAGTTACTAGGCAAAGGCATTTGAAGTGCTGCAGATCCGGTGTAGGGACTGGTGGTTACACCACCACCACCACTACCATTCAATGTGGGGGGTTGGTTCCCCCTAGGGTTCATGGAGGAGTTTTGGTCCAGCAGTCGTCCGGCAACATTACTGCTAGAAGTAGGAGTGGGTACTGAGCTCAAAGGGCCGTTTAAATTTCCAGATGCATGTTGAACCTGAGTAGCTTGAACAAAAGTATCATCTTGGTTGGAGGTGTTCTGACCCATATTCTGTTGTTGTGGCTGCTGATCCTTCTCATTGTGCTGCTGAGATTGATTGTGAGTAGCAGGTGAAAAGTTCGTCCTTCGAGGAAACTTGGACAAGCTCTCTGTGGAAACACAAAGACAAATATGATATACTCTCCCACCCAAAACAAAAGTCAAAAACACTATTTACTGATCAATGTTTTTCTTTACTTTTTTTGGTTAATCAAATACTCCGTAACATAGTCTATGTCACATCTTGTTTTATAGAGCATTTGATGTAGTTTTTAAATACATATATTTTATTTTAAAATTTCATGCCATCATCTAAATAAATTGAATTGAAAATGAATTCAGTCAAACATCGTAATTCGTTTTGGGACTTTAGTTATGGGACAGAGGGAGTGTGTGTGCGCGCGCGCTTATGGTTCAAAAGGCTGATACATGATGACATTTTTTAGTACTGCATAATAGAATCCCTCAAAAAAGAAATCAAAGTGTGTACTCTCACTGACACAATGTTAATATGTTTGGCAAGGAAGAAACAGAAGGGAGCTGAAGGTAGGGAGAGGAAAAATGGAGGAAATGTAGTATTTGCTTCGTGTTGGGTACACTAGAGAAATAGCAAGGAAATAATCCGTATATAAAAATGTGGGTTCCAGAATTTGTCTTTCTTCACACGGGTTGCAAAGAAACTGGAGGAGAAGGCTTCCTTTTCTAGTTTTTTCTTTTCTACCATTGCCTATTATTCGAGGAAAGCATCAACAGTGTGTTTTTTTGAACATATAATAACAAATACTTCTTCACCCTCCATTTATTTTTTCTTCTGTAGTACCAAACATGACAACAATCCGCTCTAGTCCTTTAATTTTTCTCTCCTCACTGCATTCTCTCTTTACAGTTAGTTCTCTCCTACCAAACACTCAAATATGTCCTATAATTCACAGAAAGCATGAACAATGTGTGTTTTTATAAATTTAAGAACAATACCACTACTTCTCATTCTATTTTTCTCCTCTTAATCTTGAGAACCAAACATGAAAGCAATCCACTCTTTTCACTAACTTATATATTCCCACTATTTTAACAACTTTTTCCAATTCTCTCCTTACAGTTTGTCCTCTCCTGCAAAACACCCAAAAAGAGTGTAACTAACAGTGTCACATATGATGTCTTCGCATAGTCATACTTGTGACATAAGCACAAATGAATGGATAATAGTATACAACTATCAAAGAATCACAAGCCAAACTCTAATTGTAGTTTCAGAATTTTCCTAGCAAACTGGAGGAACTCTAGTTAGAAAGACAGAAGTGTAGCAATGGTTTGTGAAATATACTAGTACTACTACTAGTAATAATAATAATAATAATAATAATAATAATAATAATAATACGAAGTAAAATTTTTAGTCAACCCAGTCTTTGTATTATAGTTCTTTTATACTCTATTTATTCTCCAGAAATCTCTCTTTAGTTTGGATCTCTCAGTTCAGCGGGCATCCATCCAGTAGGGTGCCTCTGCATCTTTCAGTACATCTAGTAGTTACTCATCTCCATCATAGTATGAGAGGTATGGTTTTACTTCTCTTCCCCTAGCTAATTCTGTCATAGGAGCTATGTGCCCTATCTTTGTTTACTTTCTTCTCCAATTTATAGTCACAAGATCTTTATTCCTCTTTAATATATCCTCTTCATCAAGTTCTACAAAAAATGTATTTCCCCTTCCATCTTCGGAGATCAACACCCAATGATAAAAAAAGCGAACGAAATGATTTTCTCTATCTTATACTCCGTAATAGATATGTCAATATCCAACAAGTAACTCTTTTACATGCTTCTCCTTTCCATGCAGCTCAAACTTGTGGGGAGATATTATTATTATTATTATTATTATTATTATTACTACTACTACTACTACTACTACTACTACTTTTACTATTATTATTATTACTACTACTACACCTACTACTATTATTATTTTTATATATTCAGTTAACATAGTATTTGTATTATAGTTCATTTCTGTTATTTAGTAGGTCTTATTAGTTGGTAGTTTCCTGAGTCTATTAGGACCTATTCCTATTTAAAACTTCTAATAGTATCCTTTTTATTTGACTAATACTATTATCCCATCAAAGAATGCAAAACCACATCTATGTACCAAAAAAAGAAACTATGTCCCCACTGATATCTAATTTCCAACATTCAGATGCAAGACTCTGGAACAACATGATATAAACTAGTAAAGCAAAAAAAACAAAACTTACCCATAGGTCCTGTCCCCATCTCTCTGCTATAGTCAATCAAATCTTTCATGCTATTAACAACTTCCGATATCTATCAAGCACCAATGAAGTCATACATTTACCAATTCCGATGGCATGAATAAAATGGAAGGGAATATGAAGCTTATTGGTTATTGCATTCAAAATGGTGTGGAGTATGCATAAAAAGCACATGCATCATAACACATAAAGTAACATCCAGGGACAATGAATCAGACAAAAAAATAATGTGCATGCCAAATCTCCTACTTATTCAATAGTCATACAGCTACTACCAAGTTCCTGCATTTGGGGGAAATCTTTGAACTATGACTCTACTGTTGCACAGAAATATTTCCAACAGCAGCATTGGGTGAAAATTGGGTTAGACGGAAATAACTATTTAGTTTGGATGCCTCTCTTATTACCAGGTTCACGTGTTTTGGTGAACCATATGCCTAAGTGTTTACTGTTTGAGAAAAAGACAAATACATCAGTAATCCTGATAAACATTTATTCAGAGGAAACAAATATTACATCACAAAGTAATGTATAATTATAAACAAAATGATACAAATAGGTGACTTTTTCTCTTCTCTTTTTTTGGTGGGAGTGGGGGCTGAAAGCAATATAGCAACAAAAGTAGAGTAAGGAGCAAACCTGAAGGCAACGCACGTATCTCTTTGTATATCCCAAATCATTAACCAATGGAACTTCCAAAGCTTTTGCAAATTGACGAGCTGAGGCAACAAACCTGCAAGTAATTCAAAGTTACTAGTTATGCACGCATGTTGCAAAGCAAAGTATGCATGATATAACAACCCATTATAAATCATAATCATAATCCCAACTCCGTAGGGATTGGGGAGATCAAGATATACGCAGTCTTACCTCTGTAAAAACAGAGAGACCGTCTCGTTAGACCCTAGATTAGGCATGGAAATTGGCTGGTTTTGGTCTGGCTCAGGAAAGCATTCTACCAGTGGATTCTGGGTTCTAACTGGTTCAAGCTAAAAAAATTCTGACTTTTTTCTGACTGGTTCCAAGCATCCAAGTCTCCATTCCCCAACAGTCAAAAGGCAAAAATAGTAATAATAGTAGTAGTAGTAGTAGTAGTAGTAGTAATAATAATCCAAAATAATAATAATAATACAGAGTAATAATAATTAGAACAGAGACTTGAACTGCCGGTTTTGGTATCCGAAATTTCAAACCAGACGCCCCCCCCCCACCACAGTTCCAGATATGGTTCTTCAACCCCCCCCCCTGCTGGTACAGTTTTGGAACTGCCGGTTCCTGTATTGAACCAGGACCACAGCAACCCCTACCCTAGATGCATAGGTGCATTCGCTGCCCAGACACTTCACAGAAAGTAAAACGCAAAGCAATTTAATGTTCCATTTTGATAAGTCCATTACGTGTTCGAATTGAAAACGTTGCCAATGATGGCTCTTTTAGCTACATTGATAATGGACTGAAATTATGCATGATAAACACATAAAGTTAATGAAATATCAACAGATAAAACATATGCATTCACGTAGAAGATACTTCTGTAGACATTCACTCTAAAGCTTTGTACAATGCCACAAGATTCACTATTATAGAAAAGTTTGATCATAGTATGATAAAAAGTAATGTACCAGTAACTCTGTGGCTAAAGAAGGTAGAAGCTATGATTGGATAACTCAAATGTAAACAAATCATTTTGACTTTTCAAAACAACTCAACTTAAATGTGAACAACGCTTCAAGATGCAAACATTTATTAGGGCATTAGTTAGAAATATGGGGCTCACATATTGCAGTTATTTTGTAAGTCGGGAACAGAGATGTTAGATGATGCATTTTGAGTGGTGGTAGTTTGATACTTTTGTGCTGCAGCTCCTAGATGGCTTACCTGCTCACAAAAATCATAAAATAAAAATACATGAGTATACAAAGCAGCAGAGTATGCTCTGTATGACAACTAGCAAACTTGCTCCACATGGCAATGAATTAAACTCTTACTGCAAAATTTATTATCTTAAAATTTAGAAAATGAGCAAAATCTGAATACAGGATTCTACTTGCAAAATGCAATCCTTTTTACCACGGTAATAGTACAGAACAAGAGTCAAAACATGCAATTGAAAACTAAAGAAGTATCTGATATAGTTTAGAAGCTATGGTTAAGTACTAGACTACTAGCATTTCATCATTTCATGGTTAGATAGAAATATAAGTAAAGGTGAGAAGAGATAGAAGCTTTATCCAATAGCAGGAACGTGTACAACAACCCTGAAGGATACCACGAAAGTAGGGTCAAGGGAGGGTCTGTGTACGCAGACTTTACCCCTACTCAAAAGTAGAGACTAGAGAGGCTGTTTTCAAGAGTCGACACAAAAAGCACAGAACACGACAAGGAAGCAAAGAACAAACAAAGGGTAAAGAAAAGCGCAAGAATGAAAGAAAATAAAGAGCAGGATTGAGTAAGACATTCAAAAACCAGGGCAGAAAACTGAGAAACAGAAAAGCAATGTATGCACAACAGTAGTACATATGAAAGGATATTGTGAACCTGAGGTATCAACAATCTTCTAGGTATAAGCTCTTCATGACGTCGGGCACAAAATTCCCAAGAGACTATCTGCAAATTCATGAATAAAAGAATAGAATTTGTCATGTAAAGTGGGTTGCTTTGTTTTTAGAAGATGGCCAGATTGGAAGGAGTAAGAAATACATGGATGTCAACACATAGACAACTGTGAAAAATGATTAAGGTAATATTATGAACATAAATGACCTTTAAGTCCGGTGAGAATACAATTCGAAGCTGGCCATCACGGACAACGCGAAGTTGTTCAAAGACACTCTCCTGAATTGCTTTGGCATAGTCTAGGACAATTTGGCCTGAAGAATTCTGATACTCACAGGGCATATCGACATAGAGTAGCTCCTCCAATGTGCCACTTTCATACTTTATCTTAAAAAGTCTAGGCAGGACCTCAACAGTTGCCTCTGTTGGAACAATGAGCCACATTTCAGATAACCTAACAGGAACTTAAGAGTGGCATCTATAATTCTACTACTAGTATAAACCAGAGTCCAGAAATACTTCCCAAAAACTTGTAATATGACAATCAAAGGTTATGTACTAGATCATGTCGGGGAAACATACCAAATCCACGCCCAGGCTTACGGTTGCATATTTCGCAATGCCACACATCCTGCAGTATTTTGAAAAATAACCACATTTATGAAGTTAAACAATCAATACAACACCTACAAAATAATAATTATCATCAAGTACTTTTCTCTTCCATAATTGCATGCATCATTGTCTAAAATACAGAAGAATCAAGAAAGCATTATCAAATATCAGAGCATTGCCAATCCTATTCCTAACAAAAGTTGAACATATAATTATGCGACAAGAAACCTGAGGGAAAACTCCAGTTGTCTGGCGGCCACTTCCATACATTGAGACACACCATTTTTTCTTAGCATTTGGCGCAAAATACTCTGCTACAAATTTTCTCCAAAAATCCATGCTGTTATCCTGAAAAACAAAACAACAATTCTAAGTTTTTTTCTTTCATAAGCATCAAGAACACTGAATCTGCTAAAAAACTAAAAATTCCGATTCAAAAAACTAAAAACAAGCATGAATAGAAGATAAGTTGTAAAAAAACGTACAATTTGGGAAATAATTCCTTGGCTATGAGAAAAGAATGTCACTTTGAGAGCATATCTCAAGAAATAATAGTGTTTCATTGTTAAAGGGAGATGCAAGAAAATTTTAAGGGAATACCTCAGGCCTGTGCTGTTGCTGATACATGTAATTAGTCAGCCGACGTGCACACATCCCAGGCTCATAATATGGTTTTGTTGGAGACCTTCCAGCCGGATTTTGCGCATGAAATTGTGGCTGTTGTGGGGTTCTTTGTTGAGGCATAGACTTCATGAGCTGCTGCTGCTGCTGTTGTTGGAACTGCATGAGTCTCTGCTGATGCAAAAGCTGGGCCATCGCAGCAGCTTGAGGGGACTGCCTAGACATCTGAAGAAGCTGTTGTTGTGGATGTTGTTGTTGTTGCTGCTGCTGTATAAACAATGATGGGTCAGAATGTTGAGGTTCCATTTTAACAGTCGTAATACTTCTTATATTTTGTAGCTGATGTGGCTCCAATTTTACTGTGGCTAGATTTCGCAACTGCTGGGGTGTTTGATCATTGATGACCTCCGGCTCCACTTTAACAGGTGCAATACTTCCTTGCACACTTCGCATTGGTTGAAATTGCTGTTGCTGCTGTGATTGAGAACTGTCCGGGGTAGAATATTGTGGCAGCTGTTGATTGTGCTGAAAGTTAATGGGATTGAGCTGCTGTGGTTGTTGATCTGTCATTACTTGATCCCCAGCAGTATGAGAAAACTGCTGCACTTGTACTTGAGATGCCATATTAGAATTTGTAGGTGTTGCCACTGAAACAAATGATGATGAAGGAGATGCATTATAACCCATTCCATTTCCAACGCCGGACAGTGGATCCGGTTCAGCCCCATTATCAATGAGACCCCTCTGAGTAGATCCAGGTCCAGATAGCCCAGAAGTAGGGCCACCGTTTCCAAAAGATTGATGCAGGATAGATGCAACATTGGGAGCATTACCAAACATATTCATGTTTCCAAATTGTGTTCGTGGTGACCCCAAAGGAGAAAACCCACCCTGTGATGGCAATGCACCTCCTTGACCGCCCAATAGACTAGAATTTGATCGAAACAGTGAAGTCGGAACAGACTGGGCACCACCGAGTGGTGTAGAACCCCCTCGTGGCACCATGTTCTGGCTGTGAACACAATGCACGCAAATCTATTAACGAATCTTCTTAAAATGGCAGGAATCAGACACCTGCTGGCTTCAATGTACGAATAGTGGTAAAAGAGATCACGCGTGTCAATGTGTCAAGTACTTTACATTAGGAACTGAAGCTGAACATTACAAAGCCTATATATTGAGGAGGGAAAAAAGGAAATTGTATAACTTACGCCCATAACAGTGTGTGATACAGGTAGAAAATAGGAAAAACATTAAAGAGTACTCCGTACTATAAATAAAAGCATCATGCTTTGATCCTTGTCGTGCTAAACAGCCTCAACTATGTTTAGTTGTGATACAGAATAAGAGCATTCAAGTTTCAACCACCTCAGCATTAGTGTTACTCGTAACAATTTTTAGTTCTTTTATTCCAAATATTAATATCCTTTTGTTGCAATTAAACCCAGAAAACAAAACCCAAAACCACAAAAAATACATATTAATTTTGAGCCACTAAGTCCCAAGGCAGAAATAGGGAGAGAGAGAGAGAGAGAGCTCTTTGGCAATAAATTCAATGAGAAAGGTCAAACTGCCAGCCCATAATTGTAAATCTACAATGACCCTGATCCAAAACTCTACTAAACAAAATAAAAACTCTAGGGTTTACATCTTTAATGCTGGCCTAAAATTCAGATTAAAAAACTAAAACTAAAACTAGAACTCCACATACATACAGATAAAACAAGGAATATATACATCCATCTCTATGCATACCAATAAAGACTTACCAAAAGCAGATTTCAACACGAGGCAGACGAAGCTTCGCCTGACTGATCACAATTAGACACGGCGCTGCTGTTCCTCTCACTTGGCATTTGTAGCACAACTAGACAACATAAAAACGCACATAAGTATGAATATCTACTGAGATAAATGCCCGTTCATCGTCCCTCTGCGGATTGAATGCATCTTAACATGCACAATTTGAAATGCAAGCTGTGCTGCAGTTGAGTGCAGAGCTCCAGAGTCTTCTTCTTCTTTCGTCTGTTAATTTGGAGACTGTGATGGAGAGGGGAAGAAGGAGAGAGCTCTGGTGAGCTGTAAATTTTAGAGAGAGAAAATCGCGTGGAGAGAGAGAGAGAGTGTGTGGGTGGGAGGGGGGGTTCTTGGGGCGGACGTCAAATTTGTATTCTATCAGATTGAATAATTCGCTTCATTCCCTTCTTTCCCTTTTCGGTCTATCTATGGTACTATAAGAAAAATGCAAAAAAGGCAAAAAAAAAGGCAAAAAAATTTAAAAAAATAAGTAAATAAAAATATTAAAGATACACCAAAGGCAAAAAAAAGCAAAAAAATTTAAAAAAAATAAGTAAATAAAAATCAAATAAAAATGTGTGACGAAGAAGAGGCTGATGTACATTTGGAGTACACCTTTTGGTGTACTCCTAACATTGCTCTATGAATAATCCTCTCTCTTCTCTCTCTCTTCTATCTCTCTCTAGGGCCTCACTCAAAATCTCAAAGGAGGTCAAATGGTCGTAGTGCCCGTTCCGAATCTGCAAGGGTCCATTTTACGGGGGATTTGTGATATTATGTACGCTCTAGCAACTACGGAGTTTTTTTTTTTCAATTTTGACTTTGTGGGTGGAACTTTGATTACTTATCTAAAAATGATTGATTATGTCAAATTAAAATTCAAAAAAGTTTGTTAAAAGACTTTCATCAAAATTATTTATTTAAAAAGATACTGCATATAATGTCAACCAAAAATTACAATCAAACTTAAAGACTCTGCAATTGAACAATATAATTATAAATCTCTCTAATAGGATGTCACAAATTTAGATTTCTTTTACATGTTGAGAAAAGTTTAAAAAGTTTGTTAATACCAGCGGAAAACAAGGAATGATTTGTTTGAAGATGTGTTTTATTAATTACTTTGACTCAAAATATTTATTTCAGTACATCAAAATTTCAAATTAACATTATGTTTAACAAAATGTTGATATGAAGATACACCTGATTCCATCATAACATTGGTGTTTTTGAAATTCAAAATAAAGTATCAACACCTGATTCCATAATAAAAATAATGCATCTATCTTTGAGTATTTGTCTAATTTTTATTTTTTGCATTTAAAATTGGCAAACTTTTACTACTAATTAAGTAAGATTGATATTAGATATCAATACAAATATATTTTTATTCGACTTGATTTATTATAATACATTCAAAATATTGCTTTATTCAATCAATAATCTTAATAAATCTCATTAGACGGTGGCAGAAAAAATAGCTATAATAATAAAAAATACGGAGTAGCTATTATATACTCGTATAATGTTGGAGATAATAAATAAAAATATTATTTATTATTCAATCAATAATATAATAAATCTTAACTGTGAAAAGTTAAGACAAGCCAAATACTCATTAGCTGGAGGCAGTACCTACACCTAAATTCGTATCGCCCTCCCGGCATCCCGCACCAGTCCCCAGTCCCATTCCTAGTATGATAATACTCCCTCCGTCCCGTTGTCTTTGTCCACTTACCTTCTGGCACACCATCCAATGCACTTCTTTAATCCATTTTATCTTGTAATTTGTATATTAAAAAATTATAGAAATTATATACTAATAATCTAATCCCTCCGTCCCAAAAAGATTTACACGTTTCAAAAAAATTGTGTCCCACAAACCCTTACCCATTTATATTAAAAAACCACTTTTACCACTTACTTTTTCAAACCCTACCTATCACATCATATCTTTTTCCTAATAATCTACACATCACATCCTACTTTTTACCCATCACATCAAGGGTATTTTTGGAAAGTCAACACAAAATTATCTCTCTCTTAATTTCAACTTTAGTCAAAATGGGTAACACTTTATGGGACGGAGGGAGTATATGTTAAGACAAATCAAACAAGATCACACATAACTATATTTAGGCTTACACATTGAAAGAATTTGATGACTCAAAGTGCTTAGATGAACGGTTTCAAAAGTTAAAAGTGGACAAAGAAAGTGGGACGGAGGGAGTATGTTAGTGTTATTCTATTCTTCTTCATTCAAAATAAAGTGTGGAGCGTTTATTTTTCTTCTAGATCCTACTCATCTTATAGTGGGCCTCGAACACCCCAAGACAGTCCAATATAAACTCCTCAAGAATTATAAACATTTCACATGTTCAATCAATTAAAGTTTCGCTTGATACACAGAATTTAACTTATGAAATTAGAATGAACATTTGAGTTTATTTTTATTGTTTGGCAATTCAAAAATATGTGGATTTAGATTTAATGGTGTAAGAAAATGAATTAGAAAATATAATTTCATCCAAATCAATTTCATAAAATTTCAATTCTAATTTAATTTTAATCACGTCAATTAAACAAGTTTTTGTAGAATAACTTATTTGATAAGATCAATGGTGTATGTATGGTAAAAAAATTCAAAATTAGGAAATGTTTAACAAAATATTAATGTGAGAATGATAATAAGATGGGGTTTTGGGAATATATACAAATTAGAAATATGCTTACTCATTCAACAAAAGGAAAAAAAGGAAAACTTATTTTGGTTACGACTACTCCTGCATGTATTTAGGGCATGTTCTTTAAGACTGGAAAAAAAAGTTGGATGTTGGAAGAAACTGAAAGAAATTGGAAAAATTGAAAAAAATTAAAAGAAACTGAAAAAAATAGAAAAAATTGAAAAATCTAAACAAAGTTTTTAAAAAAATCTTATGTGTGGCTTTATATTATTCTCATTCTGATTCTTGTTGTTATAAATTATTATTATTATTATTCTTGTTCTTGTTGTTGTTGTTGGTGGTGGTGGTGGTGCCACGTTATCTTAATGATTGTCTTTAAAATAAAAAAATATTACGAGTATTATTTTTCATATATAAAAAGCTAGTTTAAAAAAATAATTAGAATCTAAAATTAGCATAAATATTATACTTCTTGGGTCATTTTTTCTTTTTCAAAATGTAGTTTTCTATTGGTTTTCATAATGTAGTACTCCCCACCACATTTCATACTTTATATTTTAGATTAAAATATTGATGTTCACCTTATATAAATTTAGATTAAAAAATATTCTATATAACTATTTATCCATAATTTTTTAAATAGTTTCCTAATTTTTCATGTAGATTAATATACAAAAAAATGGTATTATTCATATTAAAAAGTTGAAGAAAAAATAATAATGAATGTGAATCATAAAAATAGTGAGATGAAAAAATGAAATAATTTATAAACTATAGTTATGAACATAAAAATTGTAATTAAAAAAAGTTGTAATAATAATAATAAATTTTTTTAGAGTGATTTGTCAGAAAGTATACAGAATTTGAATAAAATAAATATAGTTGGGAGAATTTAGAAAAAACTAGAAAAAATTAGAAGGAACTGGAAGAAAGTGATCGAACATCTCCTATTTATGTTTAGCTTAGTTTTTTGTTCGGCTTCCCAGCAAAGCCACCTATCTCTCATTAATTTATCTCTTCTCTCTTCTATAGACTACCTCTCCACCTATTTCCTCTCCCAAATCCAAACACACCCTTAATGTCCCCACCATCCAATCAACTCCTCCTCTACACTACAGATCTCTTGGCAAATTTAGAAGACAAAAAGCACAGAATAAATTAATTTGATAAAAAAAACGTGCAAGTCAATCTAACAATAGAATAAAGTTGATGAGATCAACACTCATAATGCACTGAAAATGTGACTCTCACAAAAAGACCAATCAACACTCACACAACACGCAACTGGTTCACAAAGATCAATCCATCAACATTCAACACAGAGAGAAGCATTTCCAAAATCACAACACATGCATACATATACTTATTATAAGTCTATCTAAACCAGATCCCCTCCTCTTATTGACAGGTTTTGCCCCTTCTTCATCTTCATGTCTTCTTCTTCTTCTTGGAGTTTGCCAGTGATTTCCACTGCCTTTCCCGGGGATGCTGGTGTTTTGGTGGTTGATTTCTTCGGGTCGCAGTAAATGGCGTACAAGATCAGCTGCGCCGCTCCCAACCCACACCCGAATCCGTTCGGTATCTGGTTTGATTTGGCAATTACAAAGTGAGAATTGAAATTCTTTAGTTCTTGAAAAGAAGAAATGGTTTGATTTCAAGGGTGTGTGTGTGTGTGTGTGTACTTACAGCAACAAAGGGGTCCTTCCCAAGCAGCCCAAAGATGAACCAAGAAGTGCCACACAAGAACACAAAGAGAGACAAGAAGAATGGCATGAACTCCACACTCTTGGTCTTGATCACCACTCTCTATACACACACAAATTAAAACTTAATCACCAATTAAGAACAATAACAAAAAAACAAACAGGGAATAAAATTGACAAGAGTAAATTAATCAAGCACAAGTGCTAGCTGATGTGAGAGCTTACAATGATTGAGAGCGGGGAACCGTACATGGCAATGGAGAAGATGGTGGCAGCTACACCACAGAAAAACTTCCTTACATTTCCATGTAAAGCAAGGATGGAAACCAGTGCAATTGCAGCAAACACAGAAAGGGCTAAAGCCAAAAGTGCCCCTATTTTCTTCTTCCCTTTCTTGGGTGCAAAGACAAGGAAGACTATGACGTAGATGAACTCGATCACCGCCCCAGTCCCGTTGATTGTGGAAACCAGCAAGTTGTCCGGTGACACAAATGGCATCCCATACCTTTTGTTTATCATACACATAGATCCAATTCCAAAGCAAACACATTTTTAGTTAAAAAAAACTGGGAATTACAGAAAAAGATGTATTTTTTACAGATGAATAAGAGGATGATTAAAGGGATGGATTTGTTACCAAGCAGAAAGCAAACAGTTGAGCATGGTCATGACGTAAGGCAAGCCGGAGAACTGTTCTGTGGATTTCTTGGCCACGATCCTCTTGAATGTAATCCTACAAATAGTATTCAAGAAATTACACGTTATAAGAACACATATAACTATATAAGTCTGATCTTTTAAGATCAAGAAGAAGAATGAGAGTTCTTGAAAGTTACAGTGGTGCGAGGAAGAGAAACAAAGCAGTCGCATTTCCTAATAAAGAACAAGAAATCATGAAAGGAAATCACCACTAAATAATCAGTACATAGAGAAATTTAACTACAAGAAGGAAAGATTGAATCTTGATGATAACATTGAAAAAAAGAAAGAAAGAAAGAAAGAGTGACCAAAGATTCCGGCGACGAAATGCAGAATGTGAACAAGGGCATCCATGGCTGCAGCTGCAATGCGGTTAAACAGAGGAAGCAAAGCAAAGAATGAATCTTGAAGGAAACCCGGGGCCAGAAGAAGATAGAAACGGCTCAAGAATGGATTAGATAAAGAGAAAAATGGGGGATTGGTTGGCTCATGGCTGGTGTGACTGGTGTTTTAGACATGAGAGTATATGGGAGAGAGTGTGTGCGTTTGTCTGTGTGTTTATATAGGGAAATGGGAGTGAAAGAAAACAAAGGTCACGGGGCCGGACCGGCCCGGTCTACCCACTCCCAATGCGTGAGCGAAATGTGGGAAGGGAAGGGGGAGATTGTAATCCGATATTCCGATGGGTTCCAAACCCACGTGGCTGAACTTTATAGGAAGGCACTCCCTACTCTATTGCTCTTAATCGTCTTAGGGGCTATTTGACAACTTCTGAATGATAAGTGTTGAACCAGTAAGAGGTCTGAACTATTAAGTGTTGAATCAGTAAGATGTCTGAACCATTAAGTGTTGAACCAGTAAGAGGCCTGAACCATTAAGAGCTACTTCCTCCGTTCCACAAAATCCTTTCGGTTTTAACTTTGGGAAAAATAAGGAAAGTGTAATTTTGGTTGACTTTCCCAGATGTGATGAGAAAAAGTAAAATGTGATGATTTGATTATTAGTAATAAAATATGTTGTGATAGGTAGGGTATGAAAAAGTAGGGGTAAAAATGGTTTTTTAATAGAAAGTGGAAGTGTTTTGTGGAAAGCAAAAAAACGAAAGAGAAAGGTTTTTGTGGAACGGAGGGAGTAGTATATTGCTTAACTATTCAGAGGCAAATGTCTGATCAATTCAGATAATAAGGTCTTAACCATTCAGACTATGTATACTACTTAACCATTCAGAGGCAAATGTCTGAACCATTCAGACATCTGAACCATTAAGAGACTGAAACAAATGAACCATTAAGTGTTGAACCATTCAGACATCTGAACCATTAAGTGGCTGAAACAAACAGCCTCTTACTCTCTACTCTGGTAAGATAAGTCTGTAAAAGTGAGGGGTAAAATGGTAAATTTATTTGATGGAAGGCCTTCCGTTCAACAAAAATTTTCTGGTTTGACTTGACACACAGAAACTACAAAAAATTAAGAAATGTAGAGATTTTTCATGTATTGTTATTGATGTAAAAAAATAAAATGAATACTGTAGAGAAAAAAGTATAGATATACTGGCAAATTAATTAAAAGTTTTTTGCCAAAATTAAAAATGAGAAACAATTTGGACAATCTAAAAAAGTAAGTGAAAAAGAAGTTAATGAACGAACGGAGTATGTCTTAAATTTAGATGGTCCTCATTCATCAAGAAGAAAATATGTGAATTTTTTTATGATATTGGGCCTGTTTGAGAATAACGTTAAAGATTAGTTTTAGCGTTTTGGATAAAATTTTAAAGGTGTAGATTACTTTGAAAACGCTAACGCTAAACGCTGCTCGTAGATAATCTTTTCAAAATTATAACGCTAATCGCTAACGTTATTCCCAAACAGACTCATTATCAACAACTTAGTTCCAATGATTAGTTTTGGGAGAAGGAATATTATTAGTTTTGTTGTACACCAATGTCTACAACAAGGATTAACTTACATAAAACTTGTGCACTTTTTGTATAGGCACATACGATTTGTATATAAGTTTTATTGGTAAAATAGATTTTTTTTAATATTCCTCAAACTTGATTATGTGATTTTATGGAAAAAATCATACACAAACCATGAAATGTATAAACAAAGGTTGTGGTAGGTGTACAATGTACTAAAGTGTGTACTAGCATCTTCCAACATTTTCTGTAAGAGATTGTTCTCCTCAATTTACTCTAATTAATTACTACGTATTACTCTTTTAATTTTTAGTATTATTGATCCATTACAATATATTATATATTTACATTATTTTAATCTAATGACGCACAATGATCTTAAGTCTTGGTGATGAATTTCTCATGAATCCTCAGAAATGAATTTTCTAGAATTCAAGTTAAGGGAAAAACTCTAATATTTATTATTTATTCTTATTGCAGTCAGATTATACAATATCAAATAAGACCAGATCTGATAAAAAATACTCCCTCCGTCCCACTCTTTTTGTCCACTTTCATTTTTGCACACCATCCAATGCACTTCTTTAATCCATTTTATCTTGTAATTTGTATATTAAAAAATTATAAAAATTATATATTAATAATCTATATGTTAAGACAAATCAAACAAGATCACACATGACTATTTTTAGACTTACACATTGAGAGAATTTGATGAGTCAAAGTGCTTAGATGAATAGTTCCAAAAGTCAAAACTGGACAAAAAAGAGTGGGATGGAGGTAGTAGTTTTGAATATAACTACATTAGGAAACGAAAGGAATAGNATTTATTCTTATTGCAGTCAGATTATACAATATCAAATAAGACCAGATCTGATAAAAAATACTCCCTCCGTCCCACTCTTTTTGTCCACTTTCATTTTTGCACACCATCCAATGCACTTCTTTAATCCATTTTATCTTGTAATTTGTATATTAAAAAATTATAAAAATTATATATTAATAATCTATATGTTAAGACAAATCAAACAAGATCACACATGACTATTTTTAGACTTACACATTGAGAGAATTTGATGAGTCAAAGTGCTTAGATGAATAGTTCCAAAAGTCAAAACTGGACAAAAAAGAGTGGGATGGAGGTAGTAGTTTTGAATATAACTACATTAGGAAACGAAAGGAATAGGCTCCTCTAATGTGGTTCAAGGTTTAATAGAACACTTTTTGTGTTTCCAACTTCTTTAATGATCATTAGATTCATGTTCGTTCTATGAAGTTTTTTTTAATATTATTGACATTATTACAATGCAGTATTTTTTAAAATTATTATCAACTTAATTATGACACACATAGAGTCAATACTTTTGCAGGAGCTTAAACCTGAGTGAACTTCCCCATGAATTCATGAAGAGTGTTTTCTACCACTCAAGTCAGGAAAGAAACTCTTCATTTTATAAAATAATTTAATCTATTGGATCTTACAAAAAAGATCCAATTATGAGCTCATAATATTTACGGAGTATCTAAGAAAATCCAAGTTTTATATATGTACTTTAGACTTTAGAGGACCCGTTATCATCACTCGTGAGTGTTACGGAGTTGCCCTTCTTTCAAAATTTGGATTGGTACTCTAGGCACAAACATGAACGAAGCGAGTTGCTTTAAATTGTTTTTTTTTTCATTCGAATAATCTCAAATATTCTATAAATGTAAATATTTTAATTTTACAATATATTTAAATTTTAAATCGATCGTTTATTGTGATTGGTAAAAAAATTGTAACCGTGTGAGATCTTGTCATTTACTTCTTTTTTCCAAATTTAATTTTTCATTTCAATTATCTTAGTCAAAGTTTGTAAATTTGACATTGATTTGTGAAAAACAATACATTATATTTCAATATAAATTTAACATTAATAGTTTTCTTTTACAGCGTAGCTTTGAAATACAGAATATCAAATTTTATAAAATTTTTATGTATAAATATAAATGACCAAAGTACTAAATTAAAAACCGTGAAAAATGAAATCAAAAGATTAAGAGCGTACTGAATTTGTTTTCATTGAGTTTCATATATATCATTGATGGGTGTATTCCACCCAGAACCGGTCAACGAAGTCGTTCAAATTCCCAACTGGTCAAGGTTGATTTTCCAGGATGAGAACTTAAATCGACAGTAAAATAGTGTTTGGTTGACCCAAAAGTTGACCGGTATACTTCGGATAGTATACCGGTCAAACTATTTTGTTACCCCGTTCATCACCAATTTCGAGAAGTTTATCATTCAGAAGTCACCCGGTATGATTTCTAAGGTTGAAAAGTGTCGACAGAGATGAATCCAAGAAGGGTTTGGACCGTAGCGACCAAGATCAATGAAGAACCATTGATGATGCTTGGATAGTCCGTCCAAAGCACTATGCGACGAGGGAGTCACCTTTCTCACTATGTGACAAAGCAGCTAAAGGACAAAAGCAATCACCTCACATTATCCTAGAACATGTCATGCGCGGCGCCCTGTCCCCTTTGATTTAGTATAAATACTGTTGTAACCTTCGAAGGAAGGGATCCAATTTTTCTTCTCTCTAAACTTCCTTGTAAAAGCTCTCGTGCATTCTCCTATATTTATAATATCAATTGGGCTTAGACCTGTCAAAAAATGACCCGACCTGTTTTTTACCCGAAACCTGACCTGAAAACACTGAGTTTTGAACAAAGGTTTTGATGACCGAACCCGAAGTTGACCAAACCCGAAATGACCCGCTAAAATTGGGTCAAACCCGACCGAACCCGACCTGACCGACCTGCTAAAGTAAGAATTTTTCAAAATCATACATTTTACTACTTGTTTTTAGTGTACAAATTCATATTTTCAGACAAAATTTTAATGATATTGCATAATTATCTTACTTTTTTCCAAAACTTAAGCATTTTTAAATTCCTTGTATTGATTTATATATCTAAAAATTACTTCAGAGTTTAAAATAAAATAATTTTATAGATTTAATACATTTTTTTGATATTTTAATTTTATTTAATAGAAAATGTAAGTGTTAATGTGAATTTAAAAATTTTAAAAACCAAAGTCATAAGCCGTTGGGTCGACCCGAACCCGACAATACTGGGTCATGAACATACATTGCTCAACCCGAACCCGAATGGACCCAAACCCGAAATAACCCGAACTTGAAGTGACCGAACCCGAACACGACCTGACCGACTGATTTGCCAGCTCTAATTGGGCTACAGGTGTTTCCACCTACAGTCCTCCCGGTTATCTTGAGTGTTTTTACCTTTTATTTTTACGAATCCAGTAAACAATCCTAGACCCGGTCTAATACTGTTTACCCGGTAAGGTAATTTACACCATCAATCATCATTTTTTGTTAGAGCATGCAAAGTAACTAAAGATATTAATTATATAATTCATGAAAATTGAAATCAATCGACAATCGTATTAAGGGTACCCCAAGCGGAATAACCCGAAAAGATATACCACTATTTTAACGACAATTCACACCAATAAAAAATGTTAGTTCAATTAAAAAAATTGTACTGATGACATTTTCTGTCATTCTAAAACAGCATACTATCACAAAATGTTATATGTATTTTCGAGATACAAGTGGGTTACAATTTTTGTGTGTACAATTATGTTTTCCTAATTGGAATACATGTTAATACATGTTTGGTTTTCAAACGCTGTCTCGATTTCTAAAGTCTTCATTTGACGGGTCAAACATATCATAAAAACATACTCCCTCCGTCCCAAATTATTTGCAACGTTTGCTTTTTCAGCAGTCGCGGGAAGTTTTGTTTATTTCTACATTTTCATTGGTTATTTGATAAAATAAAATATTCTTGACACCTCTTATTTCGAAGAACTTTTTATGTAGTTTTTTGATATATAAATTTTATTTTTTATTTTTATACCAATATGTAAATAAAATGAATTGAAAAAACTTAACATTTTGTCTCGGAAATACAAATGTAGAAAATATTTAGGGACGGAGGGAGTAACTTTATGATTATAATTCATTTATGAATGATAAATCATATCAAAAGCGTAATTTTATTAATAAAAAAGGACGAAGCTAAAATAAAACTTTTGGACAGTCAACAAATAAAATTGTACTACTCTGAGATATGTACCCAACTTCACTTAATTCAAGGCCAAATTAAATAAACATAATGTACAAAAAAAGAATGCTCACATACTCGGTAATAATAATAATAATAATAATAATAATAATAATAATTATTATTATTATTACAACTAGATTTCAACATTCTTCAAATACAATTAAATTTTATTTAATTCCTCTAATTATTTTTATTATTTACTTGTTTAAATAATATAATTATGTCATCTTTTATTTCAAAGAAGTTAAAACGTAATTTTCACATGTGTAATTACAAATAATACAGTCAAACATCGTAAATTAAAATAGGAAAAATAAATTAGAGGGAGAAGCTAGAAGATGACAACATACAATTAAAAATTGATACTACTGCTTGGAGTGTTTATCCACAAAATACTTTATCTATCCAATATATAAAATAAACTCTCTTTATAAAAAGAGATCTTTACATGTGATTTTTTGGGTTAAATTGTACCAACTTTTACCATAATTTGCAAAAAAAAATTATTTAGCTATAACTTAATTTCAATAGATTAATTTTAAGATGTAGTTTTGACATTACTCTGTATCAAATTTTATAACATTTAGTTATGTACAAAGTATAGTCGTACAAATCTATTCTGTCAAATTCATATTTTATGATCAAAATTTCATCACATTGGAACTATGAAAAGTCTAATGTGAAGAATTTTTTGGCACAAAATGAGTATAACAATATGTCAATTTTTCATTCTAAAATTAATTATGTCAGCACACAAAAATAATATACTATAATGGAACAAAACTAAATACATCTTTTTTAAACAACTAAATACATCTTAATATCGCAAAGAATTAAAATATATGTGTCAACCGTGAATGAGCAATGCTCTGCATGTTATTATTTCTTTTCAATTCTGAAACCAATTGTGATGAGTCTTGAATTGCATAAGCACACACTATTTATATAAGGACTAATAGCAATAACTTAAAAATGCGGCAATTTTCCAAAAAATAGTGTACTACTATGAAGTAAAATAAAAATAAAACTTGAGCAATAGGGAAATGGTAGCACCAGCGCTTCAAACAAATAGCCCCACAATTTCTCCTTGTTTCTACTTGTGACCAACCAATGCTTCCTTCCAGCGAGCACGCAAGCTAGCAGTATATATCTACACAACATAGTACATATGGCAAACATCACTTAAAAAGTTACTCCGTATTATAAAAGTAGGAAGAACATGAGGGATGCCGAAGAGATGTGATATCGATTGAGTTTGTTAGAACTCAACACAATTTAGCCGATAACTTAACTAAAGGGTTAAGAAGAGATCTCGTGCAAAAATCGACTAAAGGGATGGGATTAAAGTCCATTTGATATCTCTCGTGTTAAGATACCCAATTCCCACCTAATACGACGTTAGGTGTAGAATTCAATGTGGAAAGCTTAACATCAAGAGATTGGAACACAACATTAGCATCATCCAAAGAGGTTGAAGTTAATCTTCTTAATAGTTCTTTTGAAAAATTGTATGTGCAGGTACAAGACATAAAAGAACTACCTATACAAGTATGAAGTTTAGCCGCTTCACAAAGTTTGGACTTGACTTTTATGTGCTCGTTGAAGGATAGGGACACAAGGCTAGTAAAATACGGTGTCAAGCTTGGAACAAAGAAGTACTTAGAGCTTATGTGTATATTATCTTCATGTATTCATATGAATTGCAAGGGTTCAATCCTTAGAGACACCCCGAAATTCGAATATTTGGAATGTGTAATATACTAAGATGAAAATTCAATCGTCGCGACATTTTCATTTATGCATAAGTTTGTTGAATCTATTATCTCANGACAGCTTGGAAATTTTTTATTTCGGACGTTGTTTCTTTAAGAAAATCCTTAAGATTTTCGTGACCGGAGTCCTAAACGGTAAAGGACTCGTACATAATGGATAAACGTCGAAATTAAGCCTTCAACCGCAGGAGACCTTTCGTTCAAACTCGCACCTTTCTTCTTCTTGCGCGAACGTACGCGTACATCTACGCGAATGTTCATGTCCGATCACAAGGATTTTCGACTCTATAAAATAGAGTCTCGTGGTATGGGTTGAAACATAGATTCTCGAGTGCTTGTTCTGAATTAACGTCTTATCCGATTGAAGTATTTCGTATACCCCGAAATAACTTTGATCTGAAAGCGTTTCGTACGCGATTCGTTATTCTATCGAGTTCTTCGTTTAACACTGCTTCGCAGTGTTATTCATCTTCTAACTCCAACAAAGAGTGCACATACCCTAATACCACAACAAAATTACAATAACACTTTTATAGGCCAACTCCTAAATTCTTCCATTTAATCCTTGCAGAAACATGCTCTTAATAGTTATTATTGCTTACTCACTTTGTAATTTTCTCGGTACCTGCAAGCTACTGTGCAATATTAGAAGTTTCTATTAAAAAATACAATAGCTAAAAATCACCAAGCTGAAATGAGGGTAATCAATTTGCATAGTATCATAGAAGCAAATGTTTGACCAAAATTGAGCTACAAAACTTATATTATTGGTAGATTGGATGACATCAAGCTCCTAAACTGACTTTATAACACATCCTTCAATTAAAATGGGGTACAAAACTATTTATATGCTTCTCAAATCTTTCAAGTTTCAATACCCTGAACATGTAATGAAAAAAATAAAAATGAATAAAATAATTGTATGTACAGTAAAAAAACTTTTAACATCCAATCGCAATAACTTAAAAGAATTACATCTTTGAGTTAACCACGTGAAAAAACACATCTTTTAGCAAACAATTAGAATGTGTATGCCAAAAATATATATCTTGTGAACCCTTTCTCCCATCTTTATTTGATAGTTTCTAGAAACAATGTGGTTTTCTCATATTCCAATTAATCAGTATATACTTCTTAAATGAGCCTGCTCCATCCACAGTTCCGATGAATCTAAAAATAACTTGAATAATTCAAATTTCAATAAATAATTGACTATTTTCAATAAGGAATATAATAAAGGCAATGAAATAACATATCTATAAACACATTAAGAAAATTGATTCACATCATTGCATAAAGATGGGGAAAGATTACCTCGTTAATAGAGCTTCCTCGGATTTTTAGACTTAGATGAAAGACTAATCTAGTCTTCTGATGCACCAATCTTTTGATTAGGTCTGAGACAAAGACCAACAACATCTTCTTCAAGTGCTTACAGGAACCAGTCGAAAAGAATCATCAATGTTCTCTTTTGTGAGGCCCTTTCTCTCAAGAAAAGAACGCCTATACATGATTGGAGAACCCTTAACTTTTGGATCTGCTAGAAACTTCACAGCATTTTATACTTGATCCTCACGAATTGGTTCTGAATTTACAAATACGGATAGTGAATGTTTTTCCTTTGCTGCTTCCAAATTTGAACTTCGAATTCCCTCGGCAAGACTCTGAAGCTGTTAAAAGGTCAAAAAACTCATCATCTAGTTGCATCATGAAAACATGCCAAACACATAGCTATGAAAGCTGTAATATATTACTCACTCCATCCCAACAAAAAAGGCAAATTTGAATGTATGACAACAAATACTCCAACAACGAAATATAATGTACGGAGTAATTTTTATTTGTTTGTTGATCAGGATTTATCCAAATTTTTGCAAATACTCCGTCTAGTAGAGATGGAGGTAGTATATCAACCCCTAATCTTCTTTTCTAACTTAATTTACACAATACTCATAAGAGAAATCTCAATCAAGAATCCAATTATTCATCAATTTCAACAACAAAAAAATATGTAGTTCACAAAATTCGGGAAATTTTGTTTATTTCTACATTTTCATTGGTTATTTGATAAAATAAAATATTCTTGACACCTCTTATTTCGAAGAACTTTTTATGTAGTTTTTTGATATATAAATTTTATTTTTTATTTCTATACCAATATGTAAATAAAATAAATTGAAAAAATTTGATATTTTGTCTCGGAAATACAAATGTGGAAAATATTTAGGGACAGAGAAGTAACTTTTATGATTATAATTCATTTATGAATGATAAATCATATCAAAAGCGTAATTTTATTACTAAAAAAGGACGAAGCTAAAATAAAACTTTTGGACAGTCAACAAATAAAATTGTACTACTCTGAGATATGTACTCAACTTCACTTAATTCAAGGCCAAATTAAATAAACATAATGGACAAAAAAAAGAATGCTCACATACTCGGTAATAATAATAATAATAATAATAATAATAATAATAATAATAATTATTATTATTATTATTGTTGTTGTTGTTGTTGTTGTTATTATTATTATTATTATTATTATTATTATTATTATTATTATTATTATTATTATTATTATTATTATAATAGAAACCCCGCCCCACCTCCATTACGGAGGAGACCTTCACCAACTTAGCAATATCCATATCCATCATTATGTGTAAGATTTTATTTCTAACCGTCCATTGTATAATTAGTGGACTACTTTATTAATTTAGGGTCATCCGATAGAAAGCCAATTTTGACATCACGAATAATAATTGTATGTATCATATATGCAATGTAAATTTTTACTTTTGTATATTATATAACTGTTCAAAAGCATGTGGAAATAATTGAAGGTTATATATTTTGTGCATTTATAGACGATTATTATCCACAGTGTCACAGATAATTTTAATAAAATTACAATTTTGTGAGCAATAAATTTTTTATTTGGCAAGGTGCAAGAGGTAACATTGCATCAAGCTCAAGACACGACCGGTTTCCACTTCTTGCTTGCTACCTAGCTTTTAAAGATGATAAAAAGTGAGTTTTTTTTTCTTTTCCGTCATTTAACCTTAAATTATTTATAGAAGAGGCTTAATCTTACATATATAAAAAACTTACAACAGATTTTACAACATTCTCTAGTTTATGATGAATACCCATTAAACATAAAAAAAATAAAAAAAAGAAGAGAAGAATGTCTCACATAAGACATGCCTTGCGTAGAGGAATGCACAAGCCAAGCATGGCAAAATAGACAAATGGCTGATGTGGCATGGTGTAGCGGGCATTCGCCTCGCCACCGCCAATGCTCGTAATGTTTCATACACTCCATCTCCCGCACGCTAACTCTTTACTTTTTTTCTCCTTTCAAAAAAAATTTCTTCTTCCTGTTTTTCTAGGGTTTGTGTTGGCACTTCAATTCTGCGGGTCCGTTAGGGATGGGATGGATTGGGAGGGTTTACCGGGAGATTATGGTGCGTACACACAAATATTGAACATCTTTGTGTGTCTGTTTTACCTTTGTGTACACCAAGTGTGATTTTCTTTTAATATAATGAATGTTTTTATATATTTATAAGTTCTTTAAAATTATTTATAAAATGTTTTAACTTATAAATCTAGATGATGTATCTTTGTACTCTTAAGCTGACTTATAAACATGTTATTAATCAAATAAAAATAAATAAGTTTTACTAATTTTTAAGTCATTTTTTTGTTTCTCTATTTTGACCATATTACTCACAAAACTACCTCTCACCTGTTATGAATATCTTCAAATGACTTATATACCATTAAAATCATTTTATCTTCACGAAAAAAATTTAATGTATAAGAAGCCTAGAAGTAAACAAAACTAGTTTATACAATACGTCAATAAACATCAGTGCAAATAACCACCCACATATTATACACATAGAGCTTGTGTTCACCAAAGAATCATAAAAGAGAGAAATTCCATGTATAACTTATTGAAAAATTGTTATATTGCACGTGACAAATTGAAAAACTGTTTAGTATTAAAGTCATGTTCTTTTCACCTGCTCTAATTAGTTTTGATTTGATTGAAAAAAGTTCCATCTGATCTGATCTAGTCTAATCAGATCTGGATGCATTTAAATAAGAATAAATAATAAGTAAAAAAAATAAGTTTAGGAAAACATGACCTAAAAGGGAAAAAAGGCAGTCTCAAGGTAAAGGCATTGGTGGATTCCATTTGTGGAATTCCACCAAATCTCTATTCACAATGGTTCGGTTATGAAGCCAGAATGTTTCTGTGGACTGATGGAATTGCCTAACTTTCTTCTGAAGTTCCCAAATGATTCCATTAAACGCCGAACAAGCATCCGAAGCTTGACCATAAACCCACAGACACCTCACTTTTCTGCCTCGATCTATCATCTCTTCGATGTCCCTATCTGTGAAAAGAAAAAAGAGTATGCGTTATAAAATGATATGAAATTGATCAGTGTGGAATGTTAAATGACAATGACACAAACGCAAAGCTAGCCAACCAGGTATTGATTCTAGATACTCCAGAAGTTCGGGTCCTATCCGAGTGGATGGCCATTTGATTGATATCGTGGTGTAGTCTATGACATTCTGAAATGGCATTTCGATATGATCTGATAAGATGACTGGAACACACTCCTGTTCGGCGTAAGAAGTAAATGCGATTCAGATAAATATGGAGAGCAGGAAGTTGAACCCACAAGTACCGGGGGGTGGGTGGGGGGGAGGGGAAAATGTGATTACCACGAAAAAGGACTCATAAAAGCGAAGGGTCCATGACGATTCACCACGTGGAGCCAGGCAGAACTTGGCATTGCGAAGATGTTGGAAATATTGCACTCTTCCCAGTTTATCAGGACCGCTGAATTTCAACTCTGGAGATTCCAACTGCAGATGGAATTAAAGGTGCAAAAATCTTTGGGAGGATATTTTACCTATCATTAACTTTATGATTATAGCCAAATATCGTTACAATGTGAAGACAAGTTCACAAACCTTATCTGGGAACTGCTTAGCAAGCTTTATCAATTGAAGACGACCAACCTTTCCCTGTGCTCGGCCTAGAAAATTGGCCAAGTATTTCCTTTTTGACAAAGGCAAAGGCTCAACTAGCCTAGACCCAGAGGTAGTCATCCCATCATCAACATTCCCAGGTATGATAACATCTTTCCATGTATTGAAAGCACTAGTGTCTCGTTTATCTGTTCGATCACCCTATGAAATCCCACACATATGAATAACTAGAACACTATGAAATCCCGCACATACGAATCATGGAACAAGCTGCACTGAATCCCATATACATATATAGATTTTAAATGATGTTTACTTGGAAAAACAATTAATGCTGATGATACAATTTGGAGTTGCTAGAAACTTTAAAAAGAAAATCAAAGCTTTAGTGATATGTATATGCCTAAGTTATCTCTACCTTGGTTAGGGATACTATTTCTTATTATTACTATGATGGAGTAGTATTTATTACTTATATTAGTTTCCTTGTACGGAGCATTATTATTAGTAATTTCTCCTATTATTACTGTTAGTAACCCATACTCCCAAAGTCCTGGTTGCAAAATTTGTTTCTCATTTTATTTTTAGGAATTAAAAGAATGTGGTTCATATTGTTACTCTCACAACTGAACAAATCTGCACACAAAACTTTGACTTTATTAAAAAGTGAGCCAAGTCAAACTAGGAACAAACTTATAGGATAGAGGAAAAATTGTAGCTTCCAATTAGTACTCAAACTCTGTTTTAGTTAATATTTCTAATAGCACCATTGTTCTCCAAGTAACACACAGGCTTGCCCCTATATAACAAAGAGGCTCCAGAGACAAATATGTAAGGAATTAAAATATAACCACATGAACATGTTTTAAAAAAATTGTACCTCAGGGGTAAGAATGATAGAACGATTCAAGTAGGTTGCCCATGACTTGAACAAATGTGCTCCAGCTCCACTGGAATTGAACAAAAGCATAAATGCATTACTAATTACTTCTGAAGCTAATCTTTGCAAAATCCTGGCCCGATTTGCATATTGTCCAACTTCAAAAAATACTCCGTAGGAGTTAAAATGTCAAATCCAATGAGCGGGCATTCTCCAGAGCAAAAGAGAAACAAGGGAGCACCCAGAATAACATCTCATTAAAACATGGCTAAGAATATGAGACGCTTGGCATCTTTATTTAGATTCTACCCATCCAAACCATACATCATCCAACTATTCTATTGATACAGCTAAACTTTGAGAGTGTAATGCAATTTTGACTAAGATACCCTCTACCCTTTAAGCCTTTAAGGGTTATTTCCCTTTACCGTTTAATAATAACATAAATTTGCTGGTTATTACCTTGGGAAAACAAATATGTGGTTGCGGCCTCCAGATAACCTGAAATATGGCATTTGACTTAACACCTGGAAGCAAAAAGGTACCAGAATAAAAAGTAAAATAATCAACAATACATTTTGCATTTTTTTGTAAAAACAACAAGACACAGTTAGAAATGGAACATGAAGTGCCGTCTGAAAAGAATCAGAAGTAAACGAAAGTTTGAAACATAAAAAAACAGTAAAAATCCACTTTGAAGATTTGGAGGCATTGCTACCTTAACATAGGTTTGATTTATTTCTTTATCATTCAGACCACCCATCATTCGGACGCATTTAACATAACTTGGCACAAAGAACAAATCTGCTTCCTCCTTCCTCCTAGCCCGAAATCGTGATTGCAAGAGCAGCCTATGTATCTTAACCTACTAGGCATTATAAAACAAACAAATCAACTATAGGGCAAAGGAACACAAAAAAAAACACGGTTATAAAGTCAAACATCAAGAGCATATGAGGCAGGCAAAGAACATCAATTATAATGTAAAATAAATTTCATGTAACTTTGAGCATTCTATATTCACAACTGAACCCAAAGAGAAAGTGTGAGTAAAGACATTCTGTTGGTGAATTGATAACATGCTATGTCTAACCAGACCTGGAAAACACCACTGATTTTCATAAGAAACTGAACTTGTTGCTCCATACTTACAATTCCTATAAATATTAAGTATGAAGGGTCATCCTAATCAGGCTATACTTGCTCAGTAACAGAGTACTAATCATACCTAAGCCAAAATACACTGAGCATACCAAATCAGCAACAAAGATTGGAAAGGGAAGAAATTACCTGAGTACCCCATTGTCCTTTAAGACAAGAATCGGGGGAAATCTTCCCTTCCCGTCCGTACAGTAGCAGATTGAGGCCGTCGATCTCGCGCTCATCGTAGACGTAGATTTTTAGGGACAGATGGGTCCCATAACCGCGTTGGGGCCAGGAGATCGAGGCCATATCGGAGAAGGGAACGACGTCGTTGCCGGATCCATACTCCGACGCCACGGAGGAGCACCGGTAGAGGGACTGGTGGAAGAGACGGGTGAGGAAGAAGGTGGTGATGACTAGGGCAAGGGCGAGGATCTGATGGGTGCGGGTGCAGGGAGGAGGGTGGTGGTGAGCCGCCGTTGGACCGAAGAGCCTGCCACTACTGCTGCTCTTGCTGCTGCTCATCGTTGCGAGCAAGCTGGCGACGACGGTGAAGTGGGTATTGCGAAAGATAGAGCACGCCTGATCATTTTTTTTCCTTTCTTTTTCGACAATTTTATATTTTTATCGTTCAAAAGAACAATTTTTAGGTTTTTATAATGCTATTTAAGTAAATTCCTTTTTTAAAAATGTGTATGGATTTTCAAAATTCGAATCAAATTATGATTTAAATTTGATTATAGAATATTTGATAGTTCATCCGTTTCATAAATTATTTATACTTTTTGGTTGCAAACAATTGTTTTTTCTTTATTTTTTTAAATCATTCTACGTGCCTAGAAAAATGATATTTTTATCATTCCAACCTCTGGATCTTGTTTTTAATTATATATTTTTATTGAATATTTGGTAATATATAGTATTATTGTCAATTTTTTTTATAAAATTTTTGACGTAATTTTTTGACTTCGTAATATGTAAATTATACAAGTATTTTTTATTTCTATATCTTTTTATAAACAAAATAATTTTAAAAGTTACAAAGTTTTGCAAGTTGTTTAAAGAGTACCCTGGAGTATAATTATTTTTTACGGGTGGATTGTGCTCCATGTTTGGGAGGGGTGATGGCATGGAAAAGAGATCCTCTCATGTCTATTTTCAAACTGCTTATTTGTTGTGCAAGCTATCCAAGGTGAACATGTTGCTTCTTGTGCTTGTTTATTTTTCTTCTTCTTATTTTGGTACTCTTATTTAGATTGCTTTATGATAATGAAATCTTTTGAGTTTATTGTCATGGAGCTTGTTCATCGTGATGTTAATAAGATAGCTCAAATTTTAGTTGGATATCTTAAGACACACTTATGCTTGTGAAATTATAAATCGCGAGATTTTGTTGTTGACACTTTGTTGAATTAATAATAAAGGAGGACTAAAATATGAGTAAAAACATAGAGATAAAATAAAATATGAGTAAAAATATAGAGATAAAATAAAACATTCATCTTAAAGACTCAATATAGATTCATAATGTTATCACATTATACCAAAAAATATCATAGAAGGTCGACATACGGTGTCACATGTTATAGTGCAATAATCTTAGTTTGAGATAATAGTTTTATTTTAAAGTAAATTCGAAACAGAAAGTAGAAAAATAAATTGGTCCAGCTTTACACAAAAATTACAGAGATCAATTGCGAATTCGTTGAAGGATCGTTTTTCAATCTATTTGTGTTGTATGAATTTTACATTAAAGTCTTGCTTTTATAAAAAAAACGAACAAATGCATAAACTAAAAATTGAACTACAAAATATAATCGAACAACTGAAAATTTGAGAAATTCACGTGGAAAATCATATGAAGTTTGAATTAAGAATGTAGAGGAAGAATGAAGAATATCATGTCTTCATAAATAACATTTTTTAGCGAATTAATAACATTATAAAGGTATATAAACAAATACTCCGTACTAAATTGTAATATGGTCAGTGATATTAAAAAATGTTAAAACTTAAAAAGTCTTTTGAGCCAATAAATAACGCGAAGGTTCTATGGTAAAGAAATAGGTAGAACGAAAACATTTGGTGTGCAGAAGAAAGACACTCTAGATCCAACAAGCCATTTTTGACCCCGAAGGTGTAAGAAAGACAGAAGTGCTCTGTTTTTTTTTAATTGAGCCATTTGAATTGAAAGTACCAAATTGAACTAAGAATATAAGAGAAAGTAAGTTGAAAAAAAAAAAGAAGAAACCCTTAGATACCTTCTCCTAATGTGTGCACATTATTGCTGAATTATACACGTATGGTATATACTTCAATGTTGGTGTAACGTTTTCTAAACCACATCCATTGGTATATTCTCCTAGCCTTATTGTTTCTGTCAAGACTCAAGATAAAGCTTCATATGCTGAGGAAGAAGAAGAAGGTATGAAGAGCACGGAACATGAAAACTCCAGGAAAAAAGCTGATCTGCAGAATAAGGATATTACAGAAAAGAGGCGATTCATCTCGTGATTCATTGCATTCTATGGAACTTTTCATGAACCTTTCTCTCAACCAAACTTAATTCATCCAGATACAAGTATGAACGAAAAAAAACCAATCTTTTAGGAAACCAATAAGAAAGGAACTAACCAAAGGATCAATTTGAACGGAGACAGAATAATGAGCTGAGAGCCTGAGATGATGGTTCTGATCATAACTAAAACTACGCTCAAGGGTTGCAGAGATCGAGCACGCAAGAAAAGCAATTCAAGCAGATTACAATGGTGTTTCTGATTATAAACAAAAAAATTACACAGTTGTAGTAACAGACAATGTAATAAATCATCTATTGTCATTTGGACTTATGTTCAAATGAATGAAAACAGATACTTTATAGTTGATAATCATACAACAACAATTGGTTTTATAAGTCTGAAAACCAATATTTCGGTACTAATTCAAATGAACGAAGTGGAACGTAAATAAGTAACATTACCATCACACATATTCTTCTTCTTCTTCTTCTTCTTCCATGTGGATTCTATGGTGAAGCAGTAAGCCGAGCTTGGAACATGAAACCTCTGTAAAGTCCATCACCATTGCCAGGAACTCCACTGACCCAACGCCAATCTGCATCTCCATTCTCTCGCTCCTCCCAAAGAGCTAATCTTCCAACCCTCTTCCCTGAGAAACAAGCTCTGCTCCCTCCACCAAACACCTTGAACTTGGTTGAATCTGGGAAATGCTTAAACATCTCAGCCGGCATTCTCCCTGCCTCCTCCCATTCCAGGCTCTCCAGATCCAACCTCAGAATCAAAATGGTGGAACAAGAATTGTGCAATGAGTAAGAGATCTTCAACCCCCCAATCATCAACAACTTATTGTTCTCACCCACTAACAATCTGGGCCGTTTCAGGATGTCGAAAATGTCCCCCCATTCTTGCTTCTCCAGGCGAGTCCATTGCTGGGTCATCTGCAAATCCTTGATTGTTGACTTGAAGAGCTTCCACTGGGCTCGCCATGGAGATCCGACATCGCAGAGAGCGAGGATTGTGTCGGAGATCAACACCGGGCTACGCGGTTTTGAGGGCAAGTTTGAGGAAAATATCTGCCAGTTCTCAGGAGATGATTTGGGACTGTAGTAGATTGCAGCTAGCTCGGTGAGCACGAGGACTTGACTGGGGGAGCCGACGAGGACTGAGCCATGGCGGCACCAAGCGGAGCCGAGCTGAGGGAGGACACTGAAATCGCGGGTGNGGGAGGAAGTAATGGGGTAGTGAGAACGGAAGGGGAGGAAGGAGAGGGGGAAACGGAACCAGTAGTTGAGGGAGGTGTCGAATACGTTGAGAGAAGGGGAGGAGGATCCGCCGGCGGCGGCGGCGCAGTGAGAGTGTCGGTGGGAGGGGCGGAGGGCGAGGAGGGAGAGAGGCGGCTGATCGGCGGTGATGAGGTGGAGGAAAGCCGGAGAAGAGAGTGACGCGTTGAAGGATTTGCAGACACATCGGGAAATGAAGATGTCGCGAAGGGGTAGCTGGGCGAAGATCTGGTGGAAAGTGTCTTGAGGGAGGCGATTCAGTGGGGAGGAATCCATTGTCTGGGATGGGGGAATTTGCCGACGGGGGAGAGAGGCGGAGGATGGTGGCGGCGGTGGTGGCTACTTATCGTTGACTGGCTGTGAGTACCGTCGGCAGTTGGTTATTTCACCATACTTTCCTCTCGCCTTCCCTCAATCATCATCCATCTAGTACATTATTTGGCTGCAAATTTTTCATTAAGAAAAAAAAGAAAGAAAAAGTAAACCAAAAGATTAAATTTCATTTATATACGGAATTCTTTTCCATTAGGGAGTATTTAATTGCCCTCCTCATTTAAATGATTTTTTTAGCAAAATTTACTTATATACGGAGTAGTATCAAACAGTAGCAATTTCCCACAAAAAAAAAACTTCTCCCGTCTCAATTCAAATTTGTCTATTTTAGTTTACGATTATTGACTGGACTTAGTTTTGAATCATTTTATTAAACTACTCCATCCGGTAATTAAGATATTTTTCATTCATAGCATTTACTAAAAGTTTTTCAATCATACAAAAGTAAAATACATCCACTTTTATCACGAGTATAGCCAACCCGATACAGAGACCCAATGAGTCAAAATCTAGAAAAAAAATTCAAGATCCATCGGGTAAACGGGTACGGCTAGGATCAATTTTTCTAAAAAGAATACGAGTACAGAATAATAAAGACCGTTCTGAACCCGACCCATTGACAAGCCTAGACACAAATCACACAAGTATAAGTATTCCTTTTATAGAAAAGATCATAACCTCGATGTTAATTTAAGGTCATAAATTTCCAAATTTGAATCTTAGAAACAAAATCTAAACAAATCCCAATTTCCAAGCACTACCTTATTGAAGTTATTGTGCACCAAAAAAAACATTACCATGATGGAATGAAGATTGTACGCCACCTTGACATATTTGGTGCTTCAAAGCTCTAAACCGAATCATTCTAAGTAGATTTGGTAGATTGCTCTTGTTTTTGATAATTTTCAATGCTTACTCCTACCAAAGTAGATTTTTCTAGCATATATATTAAGGTGGAGACTCCGGTGACAATGTTTAACCCAATACTAATCTCATTGATTCAATAACTCGGAGTGACTCAACCATCCAACTCCACATATATTAAAAATAAAAAAAAATACCACAATGCATCTTTACAATGGAAGAATAAACTTTTTGTTTTACGGCATTAATGCATAATGCTGATCTATACACTTTGTGCTTGACGTGTGGTACGGGTAATTTTTAATTTTAAACTTAATACAGAGTAGAATCATAACAAAAGATATTGATATACGATGATCATAATTCTCCGTGCAAAAAAAGAAGAAATCATAACCATTCTATATCTTTTATGAGTATTTTTGGAGAAGTATCATTTTAAAATCAAATAGTCTATTTAAAGGGGGGGGGGGGAATGATTAAAACAAAACTTGTTTGTGCACATATTGTCTATGCCACACACAAGTTTTATTTGTAAAACTGGGGCTAATGACAATTATTAGGGCTATGGTTAATAAAAGTTACTCCACAAAACTAGTAAACAACAATAGTACAGCGGAAATACATCAAAAATTATTCACAGTAAAGCTCTACTTGCAGAAAGAGCAACATCCTCAATGTAAGGTAAGTGCCCTACACACAAGTAGAAAAATAGTTGAAGAACTACAAGTTCAACAATCCTAAGTCAAACCAAAACGGGTAAGATTTTGTTTTTGGTTGCCAACAATCTACCTGTGCATTCAAAAGATCGCAACCAAGAACAGGGCGTAGCATTAGTTGTTATCTTTTAATAGGCCCCTTTGATGATGGTTGCTTTCCTCTAAATACTCCCCACAGATAATACTTCCCTTGGAATCCTGCAAAATGTGGGAGGGACATCATCAATCAGAGTCTCAAAGGCATATACCCCCAAAGTTCAAAGAAAATGTCTAAATGTATAATGCAAATCACACGGCAGGGCAGGCTGGGCTTACTCCAGTATTGCCTTGGCAATTCTTTGGAAGTAAAAACCAAAAGCTCTGCGTTAGTCAGTGTTGTTTTCATTGCAAATTCTTCTTCCATCAGTATCTCAACTAAATATTCAAAACCCCGTTCACATCTGTATTAAAAATAACATATCATGATGAGATTTAGAAGCACATAAACAAACTATGAAAATGATTGAGGGTCTCTTTGATTAGCGGATGGTTCTAAAATCTGGCAAAAATGATATGAGTTTTGAAAATTGAAATGAAAGTGTTTCGAGATATCTGAAATGATAGTTGTTACTCATAGTTAGTGGCAATTGACGACAGTAGTTATGGTGGTCGGGGGAAATATCAAAACAGCCAAATTGATTTCTCCCAAATTCGAGAGATATCAAAACACCCCCACTTCGGAGGATTGTGATATCGGGAGATATCAAATTTGAACATTGTTTCGGCTTCACCAAGTAACCACAAAAGGGTGTTGATATCGGGATATATCAACACTCATATCTCATGTGCTCACCAAACAGACCCTAAGAGAGAAACTGAAAGAGTATCCAAATTGTTACTTTGGGTTAGCCGGGAAGAAATACAAGGCGATGTTTTCATCGGTTGGTCCAGAATTACGGAAACTGTTGGGCCAAATAGCAGATTTGGGCAGCATTTCCAGTTTAAGCATGGGTGGGAATAATGTTGCTTCCTTGTAAACCTTCTCACACGCCTTAATTGATAGATGAGCTACGAGCCCGTCAAAGATCTCATAATCTTTGTTGCATATTTTGAAACATCCCCTGTGATCACAATGGGAAAACAGTAAAAATGTTTCATATTTTCAGAGCAATCTATGCTTCGCGAGAATATTATTATTAGACTAAATAAAAACATTACTCACTCCCAAATAATTTCACTAACGGGCCGCCCTCCAGATGGTTGCTCATCTTGTGTACTTCCAACAACGTGTTTGGCACAAGATTGATTGATCTGTTCATCAAGCTTCCCCTTCAAAATTAGTTATTTGGGTTAGGCATGTGATCATGGATATAGATGATTGATAGTTTGTGCATCATGAGATCAATCAAGATTCAAGGGTGTGTATGGATCCAGAAAAACAATAGGGAGAGGGAAAAATGAGATGGAAAGTATATTCTTACATTTGGTTTTACCTTGAAACAATAAATATATACGAGTATATTTGTTAACACACACACACAGATATATATATATATATATATATATATATATATATATATATATATATATATATATATATATATATATATATATATATAGATTCTTTAATCATTACTCCGAATATAATAGAAACAAACAAATAAATTTAGTTTGAAATATATTAGCATACTTTTTATTTTTCCCACTAATTTTCCTTCTGTGGAATGTCACTTCCCTAGCATTTTTCAAGTTCCATATGGACTTCAAAAGGCCCAAATGAGATACTTACTCCCCCATTCACTTTCCCAACTGAACTATCGCGTGCAAGATGAGGTGTTTTGGTCAAATCAATTTTAGCGCATGCCCCTTGCATCTCCTTGGCGATAATACTCTCATCACTCTTCTTCTTTACCTGGCATGTGACAGAACTGATTCAGTTTTTCTCCCTATAGGCAACATTATTAGAATGCTTCAAACTGGGTAAGTTTCTTACTCTCTTGGAGCAATCCTGATTGGCTTCTGAATTTTGTATAATGAATTTGTTTGGATCCTTAGACATGCACTTATCACAAATCCATATAACAAATTCATCAAGAGTGTCGGGAATGATATCTAGGCAGTACCTAAAAAGAGGGTTTAGAATATAACGATGACAAAGATATTATTAAACTAAAAGCCTAAGAAAGAGGAACCAAAATTTTCACTACAGCTAAGGCTCTGTTCATTAGGGGTGTAACTCTTAAATCTTAATTTCTGACTTTTCCATCAACTACAAATGATGCTACAAAAGAACATCATGTAAGTTGTAACCATATTATTCAATCATTCTCTGGGTATAAGGATACTTTATAAAACACTTGACAAAATCTCCTACAAAAAATTATACATTTGAATCAGCAAAATGACAAATTCAGGGTTCTGGTGGTTTGGTGTAGGCCCCTACAAACACTATCAACAACTGCATGTGAATATAATGTATTTTAGAGTTTGCATAAAAAAGGAAATACTTTGAAAACCTATCAAATAAATGTATCAGCTCAGCAATGGAAGCCTACCGATGCACAGCAAACTCCAGACACTTGACACAGTAGACAAAAGCGTTAGCAAATCCCTGGTCACCGCATTGCAGGCATATATCCACCTGATGCAAGAAGGGGAGCTATTCTAATTAATACATATACTCCCTTGGGACACAATAGATGGTCATGTATTAGATGATCCTATTAGTTACAGCAAGGCTACAAGCTCTTCTCCTGAATAGGATAAAGTTAAGACGAATACATGAATTTCTACTGCAATCGGTGCCCAGCCACTAGGCCACTTAATTGGCAGATATGAATAAGTTTCATTTTTTAATGTATGGTTGCTTATGTTTTTCAAAACTAAACATCCCAAAATCTAGGAAAATACTCCCACCATCCCTTTTTTTATGTTGCCACTTTTCTTTTAAGGTTGTCACTAAAATCCCTAAATAATACTCTCAATTGCTTTTAAGGAAAGATCTGTGTGGTCTATCTCCTTGTCATAAATTTCAAATACACAAATTCACTTATCCTAAACTTTGTCATAAAAAAGTGAATGGAAACATTAAATAGTGACGGAGGGAGTACATATTTAAGAATCTAACGTGATTTTAATGGATATTTTATTGGGATTTTATTGGGCAAAAAAATTGGCATTGGATGTCTACTCTGGCAAAAAAAATGTGCACCTATGTGCATCATATTGCCAAGACCCCACCCCACTCGAGAATGTGACATACTCAACCTTCTGAAAGTCATGAGCAACAAGTGAAGGAGGGAGGTGAATGTTTTAAAAGGGAAGGGGTATGGGGAAATCAGCAAAGTAACTTCCTTTATTTCACATTCTGTTCGATTGAACTCATTGAAGTGTGCAAGAGTTGCCAATACATCCCCTATGGACTAAAGAAATGCATATAGAAAGACACATAACTCCTGAAGATCTTACAAATTCAAATGTTCCCATAAAACAAAAAGATTCATGTTCAAATTACAAGCAAAGGTACCCAAAATCAAATTATAAAAGAAAAGTTGGTGCAACCCCTTTCTAAGATGCTCCTATGTACATCAATACATCACAACTCCCATACTTCAGAAAGGATTATACATATGTAAATGTTAAAAGAATCAAGCAATCACAATGTCAATAACTACGGCTAAAGTTAATGCCAAAAAGAGCCGTAATGGCTAGAAACGCTGAAAGTATATGGAGTACATAATTAACCATGAAACTTACCTTGTGTTCAGATGAGCAAGCCATATCTGGCAGTGGGGAAAAATTGGTGCCAGCAACACAAGTATTGAAACAATGGTGCCTCCGAGATTGCAATTTTAAATATTTGAAGATGAATTACAGATTCTTCGGAGTTCGAATGATTTTTTAGAGCATAATCGACCAGCAAAGTTAATAAAACAATTCTCTATTCCTGCAATCGGATCGAATTGAAGGGTGTGAAGAGGCGGGCACAAGTTCAAACTGGAGAACGCTGCAACTCAAAGCTTAAAAATTCGCCCGTCTAAAATCTGGTTGAAACCCGGGCTGAGACGATGCGTAGGGCCGGGAGGAAGATATAAACAGTTGCTGCGCTGTGTTTTCGCAGGCGTAGACGATTGGGGACTGGGGAGACATCCTAATTTTAAAATAAGTTTAAATATATTTTTAGTCCATAATAAATTCACAAATTTTATTTTCTATCTTTATAAAAAACTAGATTCATACCCATGCGATGCACGGCGAGAAAGTTTTCAATTTTTTTATAACAACGTAGTTAAAATAGATGTTAATTGCTAGAAATATAGATTTGTAGAGTAATATTCTCATAAGAATAGTTTTCAATATGATGATCGACATCTTTGACTTTACCACTATAATTTAAAAGAATATTACTCCCTCCGTCCCAATTTAAATCGCATATTTTGATTTTTGGGCATATTTAAGGAAAATAAAAAATAGAATTGATTTTCCAAAATTGCCATTACTTTTTAGGAGTGATGATGAATGAGAAGATAAGGTGAAGAAGAGTGACTTATTTTAGGAGTAGTTTAGGTATTTTATTTTTAAAAGTTTACGAAAACAACTAACATGCAACTTATTTTGGGACGGAGAAAAAAGGCAAACAGACAATTTAAAATGGGACGGGGGAAGTAAAATTGATGAATATTGATGCAAGTCTGATTTAGTAAATTTTCATGCATTTATGATTGCTTACAATCACATATAAGCAATCAATGAGGAATTCTATTACGTGGAACTCTCTGTAGGGTATAATGGTATATAGAATCATATGTGAACAGTCTTTTCCCGAACAAAAGCAACAAAGCGATACCGCATGATGCAACATTTTACACAGTATCTTTCTTTGATCGTAATGATGCAGATAATGTTTTCCATATAAATGTCTTTCCGGTACCACCATAAACGTGTAAGAAGAAGACCCCACCATTTACTCTCTTGAATTGTAATGTTGATGGTGATTCATGTAAGGCTACACGATTGGATAGTTATAAAAAATTTGCATTGGTTAAGATTAGACAAAAATTGTACTCCCTATGTTATAAATTTATTAATCACATATATATATATATATATATATATATATATATATATATATATATATATCTTTACGCTTATGTGAAATAAATTAAATTAATTAATCACTCTAACATGCTAATCCATATCATCTTTAGACAATAAAGCATAAAAAGCAATACACATAAATATTTACTAATACTTGGTATTAATATGGTACAGGAAATTCACTAAAAAGAATTAGAAGACTGATTAGAGTACGATGAAAAAAATTGAAAAAAGAAATTGATATGACATTAATTTAAGAGTACAGTTATACAAAAAATAATACTCCCTCTGTCCTAAAATTAATTTCCCAGTTTGACTTTTGCAGTCAAACTTTTTAAACTTTGACCGTAGATTAAGGAAAAAATACATTGAATTTTCATATAAATTTATTAGAAATAGATTCATTTTGAAATATAGTTTTGAAATATATAATTTTTATAAAATATATTTGTATAAAAATTGAGATATTGATGGTCAAAGTATCGCATTGGAGAGCGTGAAAAGTCAAATGGGAAGTTAATTTTAGGACGGAGGGAGTATAGTTTATTTACTATATGTTCATAAATATTTTACGCGTAAATTTCAATTTATACTTCCTCTTTCCCAGAGTATGTCCAATTTTATCTTTTTTAAGTTAACCGTTTTCTACCTTTGACCTATAACTAAATAATATATATATTGTATATTAATTAGATAAATTAGTATTTTGAAAATATTTTATATAATAAATCAAATAAAACTATTTTGTATAAATATCTAATGTCAATTTTATTTAATTTAGAATTAAAATTTATCAATTTTGAGTGAAAAAATTAAAAATGGACAAATATTACGGAATGGAGGAAGTATCGGACAAAATATGTATTCCGTATTAAACCAATTAGGCCCATAATATCCGGCCCATTCAGCCACTCCACGGTTTTAACCTAATAATCACTCGGATCTGCTATCTTACTTCTAAACCGACAACCACTTCTCTCTCTGGATTCTTTGCCGTTGGTAATGTAATCCATAACAATGCTTTTTCTATCGAAATACGGTTCTGATGGAGAAGCAAAGGTATACATTAACAACTAACAACTATCTTTATGCTTTAAATAGGCCAGCATCACGGTTCTGATGGAGAAGCAAAGGTATTAATTAACATTTGCATATATGGAGCATTTCTTTATTTATTAAAAAATGGATCCGGGTTGTCATGCTATATCTTTTAATTGGGGACATTGGATCTATTACTTTAGTGCCCTCCACAGATCTTCCTATTAATTTTTTAACATTTAAAATACTACAAATATCCCTCTATCTTTATTTATTGCATTAGAACCAACTTTAGATAAAATAAACTTTCGAAAATATTTAATATAATAACTCATATAAAACTATTTTTGTATTAATATTTAATATCATTTTTAATTAATTTGAAGTCAAAGTTTACCAACTTTCACCAAAAAAAGTTTTTAATATATACATACTCAAGAATAGGAGTATATATTTATTCAAAATACAGAACATTAAATGGAGATGTCTATTTCTTTTGATCATTTGTTTCGTGAACTGTTGTGTTTGGGTTATTATTGTTTTCATTTTTTGAGGGAATTGAATATATATATGTAAGGAGAGTTAGGACAAAAAAAGTTGTCCCATAAGTGGAATATGTGTAGCTATTTTGTGAATTATATGGTGGGTATGATTGGTGAGAGCTATAGTACAGGTGCGACTAATGTATTATGGAATAATAAAATCAAATATAGTAAATGCAAGATAGTTAGGACAAATAAAAGATGTTTATTTCGTGAAAATACATTTAAGAGAGTTAAGATACAAAAAAAAATTGTCCTATAAATGTGTGAATGGAATGGAATATAACTCATACTTATTTTGTGAATTAACGAACTATAATAGGTGCGAGTGATTTTATATGTGGGAGTAATAAAATCAGATACAGTGCATCCAAGATAATTATGACAAACAAAAGCTGTTTATTTCTTTCTTTTTCTTTTTTGAGACCTTAGAGAATGCATTCCTTTTGTTGAATAAGATGATAGCTTTCACTTTTTAATTTATTTAAATACAGAACATTTGTCATGGTAAAAATTAAAAGTTCTAAATATTTTTTTCAAATAAACATCTAAATAATTATATTAAATATTTACGGTGTGTTAAAAATGATAAATTAGACATGACATTTTATATTAAAAATGGTGCTGAATAAGATAAGTTTTAATGGAACTTTGGATATTGAAAAAACATACGGAGTTTTAAATGTATTATGGAGTAATACAACCAAATACATGTAAGTTTGTTAGAACAAAAAAAGATGTCCTATAAATGTCATACCTAAATGGAGTGGAATATGTGTTCCTATCTTGTGAATTGTACGGTGGGTATGATAGGTGTGAGGTATTGAATATGTGAGGCTAATGTATATGGAATAATAAAATCAAATATAGTAAATCCAAAATAATTATGACAAACAAAAGTTGTCTATTTTGGTGCTTTTCTTTGAAAAGTTTGCTTTTGTTGAATAAGATGATAGTTTCACTTTTAAAATTATTATTCTTCCTCCCTAAAAGGTTGTCACAATTTGACATTTTGGTCAAATTGTGGCATATTTTGACCATGAATTAAATATAGTTAAAAATTTTAAATATTAAAAAAATTTGATCTTTTAAAATTATATTGCAAAATAAATCCAGTTTTTTGAATTTTACTAAATATAATTTTTCAATGATTTGTGGTCAAAGAGTGCCATAGTTTGACTACAAAGTCAAATAATTTTAAATCTTTTAGGGATGGAAGCATTAAAAAATACGGAGTAGGACTTTGAATGGTAGGTGTTTAGAGAAATTCGAAATTTTTTAATTTCCCATGTGTTTAAACGATAAGTTAAACATGTTATTTACGGAGTATTAAATAAGAGTTTGAAATATAATTTTAATTGTCCAAAACTGAATTTTTGTAATTTAATCCATTGTATATTTTGAAATATAGTTAGTCAAATAATTGATATGGTAACCAAAAGGGATTGAGAATTTAAGAACATTAGATTGTTAGCCTTTTTTAGTGTTGTAAATGTAAAAAAAACCAGGGGAATTGAATAAGAATATACCTTTGTGAATTATATAGTGTATGACAGGTGGGGTTGTTTCAATATATTATGGAATATTAAAATAAAATACATTTAAGAGAGAAAGGACAAATTTAGCTGTTTATATATGTAGCAAACATCCCTATTATCTCGTAGTCATTATCCTTGGAGTAGTCATGATTGGGTTACATACGAAGTATATAGGTGGGATTTATACGATAACTGGGTTCCACAAAAGTATTATGGATTTATAAAATTGATTACATCCAAGTTAGTGATGGCAAACAAAAGGTCTAATTTTAATTGTCCAAAACTGAATTTTTGTATTTTTTAAATATAGATAAATAATTGACACGGTTACCAAAAGAGATAGTTAATTAAAAACATTGGATTGTCATCCTTTTTTTAGTGTCACAAATGTAAAAAATATCAGGGAAATTGAATGGGAATATACTTTGTGAATTATAGAGTGTATGGAAGGTGGGGTTGTTTCAATATACTATGGAGTATGGAATATTGAAATCAAATACATTTAAGAGATAAAGGACAAAAAAAGGTTGTTTCTATATGTAGCAAACATCCTTGTCCCAAAGCACAAGGGAAGCAACTTCTCTCATCTTTCATTAATTAAACAAAGTATCAAAAAATATACCCTGGAACATCTTGTCGTCTTTAGCTCTCAAATTGTGTAGCAATTGAAATGGTTTAAATTTCATGGGAAATTTTGGAAATGGTAGAGCCGTCATACCCCTATGTTCTGTCTTTCTGCTCATGCTTAAAATGTAAGGATGATTGGTTGTTTTGTATGATTGACGATTTCCAAGTATAGTCACATTTATGATTGCATACACATTTCCTTCTTTAAATTTTGATTGAAATTTTTTGATATATGGAGGTTTTATAATTGAATGTATCTTGTCCCCCTGCAACAAATTTAGATTTATATATTCAAAAATGTTATATGCTATAACATCTTTAATATTTATAGGTGTCATGAAAAATGAAGAATACCATTCGGTCTGCAAAAATTTATTTCTAAAGACTCCAAACTGCTCACTTGGTGGAACATGATACACTCGTATCGCACGGAGTTGTAAATTCAATCAATCTTTTTTGGTAGAACTTGATTCAGTTTGGACCATCTAGAAGTAGCAGAAACAGGAATTGCCATGGTGGGGATTTATGGTGAAATGGGGTAAAGAGATAAATTTGTGAAGGATTGATATGGAATATTGGATAATGGTAAGGAATATAATTGGGAAAATGGTAGATAGAAAAATTATTGAGAAGCTGGATGAGTGAAAAAATGAAAGTAAATACTTCCTCCGTCCCACTATATTTGTCCACTTTCATTTTTGCACACCATCCAATGCACTTCTTTAATCCATTTTATCTTGTAATTTGTATATTAAAAAATTATAGAAATTATATATTAATAATATATATGTTAAGACAAATCAAACAAGATCACACATGACTATATTTAGGTTTACACATTGAGAGAATTTGATGAGTCAAAGTGCTTAAATGAACAGTTCCAAAAGTCAAAACTGGACGAATATAACGGGACGGAGGTAGTATCGTGTATGGATGATGAGGTATAGCAATAGAAAGCAGCGAAGGAAACGCAAAGCAGGGATGGAGAGATTGGAATGGGTGAATTAAATGCCATGGAATGCCCAAATGTATACAGATGGGATGGAAGTCTATAATTGAACTTCATTATTGCCACCTGTAGTCTTTTGTCCAGACATGCCAAGCAAGAGGCGGGAAACAACATATACCGTTTTATTTTCTTTTTATATAGAGTAGCATGCCAAGCAAGAGGCGGGAAACAACATATACCATTTTATTTTCTTTTTATATACAGTAGGATAGGATATTTTTTGTAAAAGTCATCTTTACAATTTTTTAAATAGTCATTATTCGTACATAGCACTTCTATTTAGACGGGATATCAATTTTATTTCATACTCAACGTCTTAGTATTATATTTCTAATTATGTCCGACGTAATTTCCAAGCTCTAAATTAGGTATTTATTCATGTTACATTGCTAATTCCTATGTTTATTGAAGCAATCTTTTTTGGGCTATATAAGCATTCTTATTAAAATTGTCTATTCTGGTTTTTTTAAATGTTTAGTACAAGTAAAAAAATAAAATTTGTGTTATCAAACATGCCGGAGATAAATTTGTTTTGTTACTCGTTCAAAAAGAGTGACAAGACACTAATTTTATTTGGGACACATAAAAATACAAAATTATTTTAAAACATACAGATTATCATTATTTTACAAGATTTAACAAAAAAATCATTACTCCGTATTTTACAAGATAGATTTATATATAACGAGGCGATTCATGTGACATTGTTTGGTCAGGTCATAGGATGACCCGAGAACGCTACAGTACCTCGCTCGTAAAATTAACGATTCTTACCTCCTAACTTTCACTCCACCTGACCCGAAAACACCTTTTACCCCTTCAATTGTGTTGGGGAAATTAATGATAACTTGAATGAATCGAGAGTTGTGTAAACACTTTCAGATTGAATATTTTGGTTGTTCACTCCAAAATTCAATCGGATAAAACTCGAAAGTATCAAGAACGAAATATGAGAATCGTTGTGTCTGAAAACCGAACGAAATTCGACCATGCCCAGGGGAATTTTATAGACTAGGGGTGAGAAGGAGAAGACACCATTCGCGGCTATTACCCAAAGCACGCAACTCTTCGCGCAGAAGTTTCTTCTTCAAAATTCGGTCCTATCCATCGAATTTTCTTTTAAAGAAAATTCGAAATTAAAATTCTAATTGAATTTTTTAACATAGCACCGAGCCCAAAATAAACGACCCCAGCCAGGGGCTCTGCCCCTTGGACCCCGCAGGGGCTGCCGCCCCTTGAACCCTGCTCGGGGGCGCTGCCCCCGAACCCCCGCCAACGGGGCACTGCCCCCTTGGAACCCCCGGTGTAACGGGTTTTATATCGTAACAAACTCAATGAAGCGTGCACTCCGCACCTCCAAACTTCTTTGATGATTATTAGGATACCATTGGTCGTAGTTTTTCCAATTACACTAAAATATATAACAAATTGCACTCCCAAATTAATTTTGGGTTTATAGTAAATATTGACTCCTTAGTCAAAATTAATTTTGGGAGCATAACCGAAGGGAGTGGGTGTGTTCTGATCGGGGTAGGGTGGGGGAGTTACTAGAGGATTATGGGGTATGAACCGTCAATTTTATGAATAAGAATATAAGATAATGTAGTACCTCCAGATCATTCCATGATTTGAGATTCTAATGTTATGTGAAGTCCTTCGTGCGAATAAATGTAGAGAAAAATTTTCATAAAAAGAATTAAAAGTCAAAATAATTTAAAGAAAAAGATTAAAATATGAGTAAAATATAAAAAATATAAAAAAAAAGTTATGTCTTTATTTCAAAAATAGAACTTTCAATAAAATAAAATGTCAATCATGAAAGAAAAATAGGTTTGATAACATTATGTGACATGTCTGATATTTAAAACAAAATCTTGTAATATATAAAGTATAATTAAAAATATATTATTTATAATAAATATTTCATAAATAAATTGAGGTGCAACGTAACCACAAAACTTTTAAAAGTTTAATATTTTTCTATTTATGCTAACTTTATATTATAATATTTTGTTTGCAAAAGTAGTTTTTTGTATTTGAAAAATAACAATACTTTTTATCTTAAAGGCATACATTAAGATAACGTGATGATGATGATGATAATAATATGATAATAATAATAATAATAATAATAATAATAATAATAATCTATAACAACAAGAATTAGAAGCAGAATAATATAAAAATACACTAAAATTATTTTTTTAGAGTTTTTTTAGGTTTTTCAATTTTTTGAAGTTTTTTTCAATTTTTCCAGTTTCTTCCCGTTTTTTCTAGTTTCTTTCAACATTTAGCTCTTTTCTCCAATCTTAAAGAAATGTCGCTTAATAAGATATGGAAATTTAGAGTGGCAAGTACTCCCTCTTTCCCATATAGGATATCCCGCTTCAAATAATGTGCAAAATTCTATCATTTTTTAAATCATTTTAATTATAAATTGGTATAGAAATAAAAAGTATAAATTATACCATTTAAAAAACATTTAAAAACTATATAAAGCAAGAGATGTCAAAATATCTTATTTTATCAAATTATTAATGAAAATATACAAACAAACAAAAGTTATAAAAAAGCTATAATAGTAACAGTAGCATCCAATTCGGGACGAATGGAGTAATTGATACCCACTCTGAACATTAACATCGTCGTCTTAGGCAACATTCAGTTCAACTTATTTTTTCTACTTATTTCTTATTAAAATCAATATTAACCTTACATCATTAAAATGGTGTATGATTGCTACACCAATTAAATTGGAGCACATAGGTGCTCCGATGGTAAAATTGTTTGTCCTACCCCCTAGCAAACCCATAGCCCGGCTCATCCCAACGTGCACCAACAACCCTGCTGAGTTTATTATATCAAATTTGGTCCTAAAATTTGACCCGAAAATCAACAAAATTTAGTGCAATGAAATTGGTGGGAGTGCGTTGAGGACGGGGAGTGCTAGGGGGCATGTTAGGAAGGCTAGAAGCAATCAATTCTACTATTGGAGCACTTCCCATTTAATTGGTGTAACAAATTTACACTATTTTAATAGTGTACGATTACTCCTCATTAGAATAATGTTACATGACATTACTTTGAACACCACCCGCTCCTGACTACACATTCCTTATCAGCTCTTTTTTATTTATCTACTGTAAAAAATATGTGATAGAGAAAGGAGTGTGATGCATCTCCTTGTGCACATAATTATTTTGGATTAAGCTACTTATACATAAAAAATTGTTGAAATTAATACTGGGCATTTTTGTTGAAATTAATCATATTAGATTATTAGTCTTCATAAAAATTTTATAATGGGCAAGTAAAAGAAAACACTTCTAGTTATGAAATTAGCCCATTAGATAACGGCCCAATCCTCTGCACGTTAAAATAACTGAGTTGACTGCAAACCCTAACCCTACTATCTACAATCCCCATCTCTTACGCCGCTTCATTTCTAATTCCACCGCTCGTTTATTCATCTCCCATCTCCGCTCTATCTTCTGCTCGGCGGGCGCTCTTTTCCGCAGATCTTCATCATGTATGTTCTTTGTTTTACTTTTTTGCGTAATCTATCCGCTGGAAAACCAAATATTTGTGTTTTAAACACCTGAAAAGTGGTGATGATCCTAATATTGAGCCTTATACATGTGTTTTTGTGTTACTTGTACGCCTATTTTACGATCAAGTCTGTTTTTTACCTCTCTATTTAAGAAATTTGATCCGTTTTTTACTCTGCGTTAATGGATTTTGCCTTTATTATCCCTTTAATTATACGGTGGTGTTTTACATATTTATCGTGCTGTAACCGATTTTATTCCAGTTCAAATGCTTACATAAGGTTGCCTAGCATATTTTTGAATGGTAATTGGATCTGAAAGCTGTTATTTTCAAATGAGTAGATCTAACACGAACCGGTTCGATCCGACATTTTTGTCCTGTGAATGCTCTGTCAAAAATTCCATTTTTATTCAAAATATTTCAAATTTGCGCTTCATTTCCAGAATTAGCGCCCTCCTTAAGATATAGATCACAGCATATTTCTAGAAAGGCTCAATGCCTTCACATGTCAGTGAAGTAGCTGAAGCTAGAAGTGATGGTTTTATCAATTGATGATAGCTGATGTTTGTCTTTTATAATGCTCGCAGAGTTTTTTGTTCTTCACGTCCTTTTGTAGCATTCATCGGCCATGGTTCTCAAGTAAGTATTCATTGCATTCTTCACATCTTTTTTGAATACTAGTACTGTTTGTTCTTTTGTTTTTTATTCCCAATACTCCGTATGTCTTATCAATTTGTTATGGACTATGCTTTTTATTTCACCTTCTCGGTCCCTCTAGCCAAAGCTTCTTTTCCTAAAATTATGCCTTTATATCTCCATCTTCTCCCTAGAAATTGATGAAAAGGCAAGCTAATTTTTTCAGTGTTATGATATTTTCTTCTTTAAGTGTGAACCAATTTTTTTCATAACTAACAAATATTAGCATGAAGTGAAATACCCATTTTACAACTATATACTGAACAAAGGTACATCGACAGAAGTGCATTAACTACCCTCTATACAGTGAAAAAACATCCAGCCGTGTTGATAAAGTTAAATTACATTGATTTTTATCTTTCATAATCAAATCCTACTTCTGGATTTCTTACATCCTTCTTAATAAAAAATTTAAATGTGAGAAGACATATCATGATAAGATATGTTTGAAGAACATTTAGGAGTTAGCATTCTTTCATTCTGATGAATCACTTGTTATCACGACCCCGAGCTGTTTAGGAGATATTGTTCTTTCATTCTAATGGAAATGAAAAAATGTATATAATATAGTTCGGTCGATTACTTGTTTCAAGAAAACTGTTCTTGTTCTATATTCTTTTCATCTGTTAGTTAAATTGTTAAATCTAACATAGTTGTAGAGAATGTCTTGACATCAATTCATTGATTATTGATATTTTTTCTAAAATCATTTAATTATTTCTATTTTACTGTATTTCCAGGACTGAACTTTGCCGTTTTAGTGGTGCCAAGATCTATCCTGGTAGAGGCATCAGATTTATCCGCCAAGATTCTCAGGTTTGTGTTAACAAATTGTTATATATTTTTTGGTGACTTTTGAGATTGATTATATTTGAGTTTTGGTTAGAATGGTTGCTTTTTAAATGCACTTTCATTGTTGTAGGTTTTCTTGTTTGTCAATTCAAAGTGCAAGAGATACTTCCATAACCGTCTGAAACCTGCCAAGCTCACTTGGACTGCTGTGTACAGAAAACAGCACAAGAAGGTGAGCAACGCTGAACTTGACAGATTTTGTATATGCTCAGTATATTTTGTTCAATTTCACATCTGCTGAATAATTTAATACTTTTCCTGAAGTTAAATCCTCTCAAAACATCTTCAAGGCTATCTTCATAGATTCATCTTCTTGACGACAAGTTATTTTAGGCTACATGCATTTTGAAAGACAATTACTTAGCCTGCTGCATCATACACCCGAGTATAATATATCCCGGTTTATTTAATCAACTCTTGTTTTGGGACTTGTAGGATCTTGCCCAAGAGACCGCCAAGAAGAGGAGACGTGCCACAAAAAAGCCATACTCCAGATCTATTGTTGGCGCAACCTTGGAAGTTATCCAGAAGAAAAGAAGTGAAAAACCAGAAGTGAGAGATGCTGCAAGGGAGGCTGCTCTGCGTGAAATTAAAGAAAGGATCAAGAAGACGAAAGATGAGAAGAAGGCTAAGAAGGCAGAGGTGATGGCCAAATCACAGAAGGCAGCTAAGGGTAACTTTACCAAGGCGGCAGCACCCAAGGGTCCTAAGCTTGGTGGAGGCGGTGGAAAACGCTAAACTTTACGTCCCTTTTACTTGCTTCCCGTTTATGAGTCTTTCGATAATCAAGAGATCCTTTTGTACTTTTGTTTCAGACAGCTCTACTTCGCACCTTTTCTTGTATCCTCCCTTATTTCAGACCTATGGCAGAATTTTTTTAAATGGAGTTTTCAGAAATGATGAGTTATGGTAGGCTATTCAATGCACGATGACATTAGGCATAAAATGGCTCTTCCCGGATGGGCTTCGTAAGGGGATTTTTGTCTGTCACCCTCTCCCTTCACGATACTCTATATTCCATTGGCATTGTTCTTGCAATTTCAATATCCCTTGTCATCTTTAATAATGTTCACCGAAATATTCTCTCTATATTATGTCCATCAAAAAGTTTTGGATGGCTGTTCCTTATATCCTATATGAAACATGAGGTATCCCATGTATCCTAAAGTGTGTCAAAGCTAAGCACTAACTGAAATCGATCAAAACGAGCTAGAAAAAAACTGAACCGAAAAAACCGAAACCGAATGTAAAAAAATCAAACTGTTAGTGTTTGGTTCCGTTTTGGTTTTTACTTTTAAAAACCGAACCGAACTGAATAAACTGAACTTTCTTAGATACTTCGTTTTATTTATATGAATATATGTGATATGTAAAAAAATTATAGAAATATAAACGCAAATAAATTACTAGTCGATTAAAATTATTTTCTTAACTATTAATTAAACATTCTAGCCATATTATTATAAACTTTGAAAAAACTTAAGAATATAAACACCAATAACTAATCTTAAAATAGAATTATATTAACATTAAAAATTGATATGAGTAATTTACATATTTACATAACAAATACTTTGATGTTATAATGAAAATGAAAGTATCATACCAAAAACCTAAATTCTTCGTAATTGATTTTACATACGATTTCTTTGGAAGTATTTGGAATCTTCTAAATATTTGTTGGGCACTCAACACATATTTTTTATGTAAAATTGAACCGAAAGGAACATTGACCTTTCGTTTGGTTTTTGTTTTTTGTATAAAAATCAAACAAAAAAACAAAGCTAACACTACATATTGTTATTGTTTCATCGAATTAGTGTTTTTATTATTTTTTAATGCTTATAAATTTCTACTTTTATAAACCGAAAAAAACGAAAAAAAAACCGAAATAAAAACCGTATAAAACCGAATCGAATAACCAACGGTTTACATATTTTTTATGCAAAACCGAACCGAACCGAACCGCCAATTTACCTTCCGTTTTGTCTTTGGTTTTGGGTGAAAACCGAACCGCTAAACCGAACCCACCCCTACATTTGGGACAAATTCCCACCTCAAATTATCAAACATAGAAGCAAGAGAGACTACTTCAAAAAAATCTTTACCTTCCTTTTTATGAAGTATAGAAAAAACAAAATTTGCACATAATACTGGTAGTATTCTATGCAAATCAGATTATAAACCTCACAAAATAGCAAGCCAACAAAATCTTTACATGGTGAGCAAATGATTTATAACGATTGGATTGATCAAAAGAATACACTTGGAATTGAAGAAACAGAAATGAGTCTCTACCCATGGGTCCCGTTCTTGCAGCTGAAATGAGTCCTCGGAGTTGACCACGGTTCGCCGTCTTCATCAATCGCCGGCTGCGGCGGGTTCATTATATCGGCGCATCCTTCCGGCAGAGTAGATTGAATCCTGATCGTCGGTTTCCTGGAGGGCAGGATGGGAACAGGATCTTCACCCTTCAGCATCCTCGCCGCCTCCCTCATCGTCGGCCGCCGCTCGTGGTCCGGGTGGACGCACGACAGTCCCACCATAACCACCCTCTCCACCTCTTCCCTGTCGTACCGACCCGACATTCTCGGGTCCGCCGCCTCCCCGATCCGCCCCTTCTCCCACAAATCCCACACCCAATCCGTGATCACCACCCCGTTCTCGTCCACCGGCCGCCTCCCGGAGGCTACTTCCAGCACCACTACCCCAAAACTGTAAACGTCCGTCTTCACCGTCGGGACGCCGGAAAATGCATACTCCGGCGCAATGTACCCCATCGTACCCGCCGGAACAGTGACATCCCTCGCCCGGCACTTGTCGAACACCTCCGCCAGCCCGAAATCCCCGAGCTTCGGATTGAAATCCGAATCCAGCATTATATTACACGACTTTACGTCCCGGTGGATTATCTTGTTCTCGCACTCCTCGTGAAGATAGACCAGAGCGGAGGCGACGCCGTGGATGACGTTCAGCCTCCTCTGCCACGTCAGAAATCCGGGAGCGGCGTTGGTGTACAGAAGCTTGTCCAGACTTCCATTGGTCATGAATTCGTAAACTAGAACCAATTCGTTCCTCTCGCAGCACCACCCCTGCAACTGAATCAGATTCTTGTGCCTCAAACATCCCACCATTGATGCGAACTCGGTGTAGAAGGGGATGTGAGAAGGGTAAATTTTGCTACCCTGGGTGAATCTTTTTACCGCGACGGGTCCTCTGGCCGGAATTGAACCTTCGTAGACCACGGCGGAAGCTCCTTCTCCGACTATTCTCTCTTGATTGAACCCTTCTGTGGCTGATTTTATCTCCTCCAGTGATAATCTCTGCGGCACTCTGTTTCCCTGATATCTGCACATTTTGACTTGGGTTTCTTCCCGGCCGGCGCCATTCTTGTTCCTTTTCAAGAAAACCCACACTGATGCGGCGATTGCAGAGAGCAAAATCAGGGCTGCTGCTGTGGATGGGATTCCGTAAGCGATGAAGGGGTTGAAGGATTTCTTGGTATGTGGACCAGAAGAACGCGGAATGCACATCAAGCAATCGGATTCGTCGATTGTGTTCATAGGCTCCGACGTGGAGGAAGCAAGAAACTCGAAAGTCTTGAACTTCCAGTGCTGGATTGAATGAACTGCGGATGAGCCTTTCCCGTTTGCGGCGGCGAATCCGACGTGCATGTATTCTTTGAATTCGTGAGAGAGGTCGATCTGGGATTCGAGAATCGGGTCGGGCGGCCTGATTTCGGAGTTGTACCCGACCCATACCTTCATCGCCCTTTCTTGATCAATGTATTGAATCCACGCCGTCATTTCTCTGCCGCTCTTCAAATCCACCCCTCGGGGGACGACGTCGACGGAGGCCATAGATTTGACGCCGTTGAGATCAATCCCGACGTGGTTGTCGTTCAGATCCTCAAGAAACGGGTCGAAGCTGGTGTCGAATTCCACGGCCAAGAAAGTGTTGTCGGAGCTCGGGAGGCCCATGAAGCCGTCGAAGCTGCTGAAGGCGGCGGTATTGGCGGTGATCAGCAAGGCAAGGCCGTCGCCGAAGGAGCAGTACGGCGTGATGGTGAAGGAGAAACTGCAGTAGAAAGAAACTGCGGAATTCGTAACGGAATCAAGAAACCGGAACGGGGTCGCGTAGAACGCTCTGCCTACGCCGGAGAGTGCGGCGTCCGGCGGCGTGGTGCAATTGAGGCCATGGGTGAGCGCGATGGCGCCGTTGGAGAAATACGCGTCTCCCATTAGGGTGATGTTGCTGGTGGAAGGCGAGAATGGGTCGGCGGCATCGGCGGCGAGCATCGCCGGTAAGGTGGTGATAGAAAAGAAAAAGAGGAGAACCCAAGTCAGGTGGGAGGGAGACGAACGCATTGTTGTGGGTTTTGCAGAGAATTCTTGAAAGTTGAAATCTTGATTCAAGATTGACTGTAAGCTCTAATAATTGGGAATTTGGATGAGAGTGGCGGTGAGATTTTAGCCGGAGGCCGGAGCGTTGCATGAGCTTAAAAGGAGCGTTTGGCCAGCATATATCTTATTCCTCTTCTCCGCATGTAAATCTTTTAATTTTTTCATTTCCTGAGTTAAACTTTAAAATTGATAAACTTTGAACACTTATTAAATAAAATTGAATATGGATACAAAAAATATTAAATATTTTTATCCACTATTTTCAAAATGTTATTTTATCTATTTAAATATAGAGTATCATATAATTTAAATAATATAACAAAATTTGAAAATAATTAACTATAAAAATTTAAAACTAAACAAATATTTTTGGGCGAAGGGAGTAAGAGTCTATTCTCTATCCCAATCCCAAAAAGAACGTGGCTTTCTCAATATATAGCAAACGTATTACAAATTATGAAAAAAATTATATACTCCGTATCAATCAATGAAATATGCAAACTAAAAAAATTATCGAAAGATCGTAATACTCTATAGTATTGGTGAAATTGATCCATAGTAGATACATCAAAGATACCAAATTCAGGAACTTCATTCCAATTCTAAATTTCTACAATTACTGAAATTATCAAGGTGAGAGATTTATTTAGGAACATGTTTGAGACACAACCATACTCTATCATGGCAGCTATGAGTGGTTGCAAAGAGATAAAATCAAGCCTATAAACTGTGGGTGGAATAAATATACTCCTCCCAAGTTCCAGGTTGTCTTCTAGCTTTTGATGAGGGGTAGATTACAAACTAAAAAAAAGCTTAGCAAATTCATTCCAATAGATACTACATCCACCTTGTGTAAGCTAAAAGTGGGAAACATCTATTCTGGAAATGTGAATTTGCTCAAAGAGTCCACAAAAGAGGTTTTTGGAGGACATGGATTACAATACCATACTACTCAGAAAATCCTGGAGAGATTTACAATTGGCAAAGGAGAGAAAAAGAAGAGTGAAGAGCTATGCAATTTGGGCTACTTGTGTTTATGGGATTTGGAGGGCAAGGAACCGAAAATTGCACAAGAAGAAATCACTTGAATAGAACACAACCAACTTTGTTCTCTTTTACTACCTCCGTTTCTGAAAAAAGTTTCTCTTTTGACTTTAGGGGAAAATAAAGAAGTGTTAAATTGTAGTTAACTTTCCAATTTTGCCCTTGATGTGATGGGTAAAAGTAAGATGTGATAGTTTAGTTGTTAATGAAAAAGCATGATGTGATATGTAGGGCATGAAAAAGTAGGGGTAAAAGTGGTTTTTTAATAGAAAGGGGAAGTGTTTTAAGAAAAACAAAAAAAATAAAAGAGTAAGGATTTTAAGAAACGGATGAAGTACTTAATAGTTACTTCTCCTATAAAAAGATTGTTATAATAAGTGTGATTTCTATTTATGTTTGTCTCAAACGTATACTACATTGCTGAAATGTGCAATAGATTGTGTTTACGTGCAAAAAAAGTTCTTTATCGAATGTTCCTAAATAGACTAAAATTGTTCTTTATAGTGTTTCAAAATTTAATTTTTTTTTGTTAAAAAATAAAATATAACTAAAATTAAAAAGACCAGCATATACTTGAAATGACTTGACAGAAATATTACGAAAAAAATTGGTTTATTAAAAATATATTTAATTAAAATGTAAATTTAGTAAAATTGAAATTATTTTAAATTATAGTTTTGAAATATTAATATTTCATAATATTTAACTGTTTTAAATTATATTTAAATCGTGATCAAATGGTGCTACGGTTTCACCAAAAAATCAAACGGTGACAATCTTTTAGGGACGAATAGACTCGGAAGTATATATTTTCTCTTAGTTAGCTAAAATAAATTACTCCGTCTAATTGAAAAATAATTTTTCGTGTTTGTTTTTGTTTAAATTTTTTTTTGCTTATCTTATCCGGAGTATTGTTTTAGATTGTAGATAGTTTATTTGCCTAAAAATTATTTTATGAAATGATGGTAATATTGTTCGCAGAACGAAATTCTTAAGTGGAACTGATAATTCCATTGTCCAAAAATAATACTATCATATTGCGGATTGTGGATAAAAGTTGTTATTTTTATGATTTTTTTTACCTAAAAATTATATTGATAGGCATTATGGAATGGGATTTTGAAAATATGAAAATATTTTAGAAAAGTGAAACACATTAAAAACAAAAGATAGAATCTGAAGCAAAAACTTTTAAATGCTATAATTATTTCGGTCTCTCGATAATTTTAATTTTTTGCTCGTTTTTGGTGATTGATAAAATAAAATACTCCCTCCCTCCCACAAGATACTGCGTATTACTTATTTCGATTTACTTTTGGTAAAACAATTACACGCTTTGACCATAAATTAAATATAATCTAAATAAAGAGATGTTATAAAAATTTGATATATCAAAACTAGATCTTAAGATGAATCCAATTATATTAAATTTATATTATAATTGAATATACTTTTCTCACAATTTGTAGTCAAAGCATGTAGCTGTTTGACCAAATACTATTCAAAATGAGTAATGTTTTGTAGGACGGAGGAAATATATATTAATGGCGCATCTTATTGTGTACAACTTTTGATATAGTTTTGAACATGTAATTAAAGCCTTTTATTTCTGTCCCAGTTTATAAATAAAATAATTTTATAAGAGATATTTTGTACGTTGTTCGAAATGTAACAAATATTTTGGGACGGAAGAAGTAGAAAACAACAACAAAATGCACATTTTTCTTAGTTCAAATAACTTTGTTTTAATTTGTTTTACTTCAATTGTATGTGTGTTGGTCATATGGCCACTTGCTGTATGACAAGTTTTTTTCCAAACATCGAAAAATTTTACTTCTTCCGTCGTAATTTAAATCGTCTGGTTTAGTTACTATATTTGATTGAAGTTACTTTCAAATCATTTTATATAAAAAATGTTGTAGAATCAAAAAGTAGTAGTTACATACTCCGTGGTATTTAAAAACTACATAAAATATTCTATAAAATTAGTGATAACATGAATATATTATTTTATCAAATGACTAACGAAAATAAAACAAGAAAATAAATAAAATTTGAATCTATAAACAGTAAACATGTAATTCAGTTTGGGACGGAGGGAGTAACTTTTTTGGATAAGATTATGTTCTTTGAGGTAGACAATAAAGTTATGATTTGTTTACCAAAGCCAGAATTCAAAAATTGAAAACAAAAAGTCCTGTTTTGAATTAAAACTTAAAAAAGAATTACCCTTTAAAAAGATCTCAAAAGAGTTTTTTGAATCAAAGCATTACGTTTTGAATCAAAAAGAGTTTTTTGAATATATAGATTATAAACAACACAAAATTGTTTTCAAAAATTGAATGTATAAAAACAATCCACCCATGGGTGCCCTGCAGGGTGTGCAAAATGGCCAACCGCACAGGACTTCTAAAATTTTAGGGTCCTATATTTTTAAATTCATCATTAATTTTGAAGCATAAATATTCTAAAATAATAAAATAGGGCCCAAAACGTGAATTTCAGACCAGGCCAATTTCAATTTTTTATTTTTCAAAGCGGGCCCTGAATCCACCTTTGACTTCAAGTGAATACACATATTACAAAAATTTTAAAATTATATGGTTGAAAGCGATAAAAAAAAGAAAGAGTATACAATCTACTATCTATATAATGTTATTGATGGGATAAAAAATCTTACTTCAACTTAAATATTCTCCACAACGGTATACAAGTGTAATGAATTTCATCACAAAAAGTAAGTATAAAAATAAAAAAAGATGAAGAAGGGTCGAATTGCAGAGAATTCCTCCGTACAATGATTCAATCAATAAATATTCAATACGGTGTGATGTGAGTAGTCTTAGTCTGGTAACTGGACAAACACGACTTTGAATTTCTCGCCCCTAAAATTTTGACCAAATCTCCGCACATCTTCCTAACACCATCCGAGCAATCGCTCTGCATCACCAGCAGCACCTTGGTCAGCCCGTTGACCTTCGCCACCGCCGCCTGCGCTTGGCTGTCACGCGCCAGGCTGCACACGCTCCACAGCACCGTCACCCCGTCCTCCGTCGCCGCACTCGAGCACTTCATCAGCCTCTTCACTGTCCCCGCCAGGCAATCCTCATCGGCGCCGATTGCGGCCCTCCCCTCCGTACACGTCGCGACCGTTTCTAACAGTTTCAGTCCCTTCTCCGTCACTGCGTCCGACGGTTCAGATCCGGAGAGGATTTTCCCGATCGTTTGAACGATGCCGCATCTTACGAGCTCCTTTCTGGCCGATCTGGAAGAAGGAATTACTAGCAGCGCTGAAATTCCGGCATCCACCGCTAATCGATCGGTTTCTGAGCCGACGAGGCGGCAGAGCTCGTTTAGTAGGCCTTGTTTTTCGGAGATCTTAAGCTGCGAATCGCCGTCCAAAGCAATTGCCGCCAAAACTCTGGCGGACTGAATCTTCGAGCTCAATTTCCCTTCCCGGAAAAGCCGAACAAATCGCGATAGACAATCGCTGCCGCTCTTCAAAATTAACCGATTCAAGTGCTCGCCAATCCCGTTCTCGGGCAAAATCGCGTCCAGAAGAGCAACAATCGATTCGCAAACTTCGATCTCAGCTGAATCCTTCAAATGTCCAGCGACGCCAGAAACTGCATCTCTCGTGCTAGCAAAATATCTCCGGTTATCATCGGAATATTTCACAAAACGAACGATTTTCTCCATCGAGGCCGAGCTGAGACCACCTTCGGCATTATTGGAGATGATGTCGAGAAGTTCCTGTTTTGAAACGGCGGAAGGCGAGGGGATGGCGGCCTGGTGGTGGAGCCAGAGGTGGATGAGGCGGCGGAGGGTGAGATTGGGGACGAAATCAGTGGAAGGGAGAACCTGCATGGTGGCAGGACAAGTATTGTGGCCGTAGGAAAGCCACGTCTGAATAGAACTGCGGTCGTACGTGACGCCGGTGCATAGACTCACCGGTGACTTCATGACGTTCATGGAGATCGGACACCGGAATAAGCTGGGAACGGTCACGTGTAGTTCCCGATTCCTGAATTTCTCTTTTGCCATTTTGATGCTTTAGGCCAGTTAGAACTTTAAGCCATTTATAGATAAGAATGAGAAACTTGGATTAAGGTACTTGGACATAAGCCGTCCAAAAAATATTTTTCTTAGTCAAATTGTGACTCTAGCCCCATTCTAGTAGGGGTGGAGATATACTAGCGGTATTCACGTAGTACTTGTTGTTTGCATTGATGATGAATGTTGTATCATAGGACATATTGAGGGAGGTGCCCCGGTGCATGTTTTATGTGGATGATATTGTACTGAATAATGAGTCATGTGAGGGCTTAATGATAGATTATACGCAACAAAGTTCTAGGTGATGAAAAAAGTTTAATTTTATCAAATCCACATGTCAGGAATGAAGATGAGGCGGTGGTTGTGTGGCGTACAAAGTTTTTTTTTGAAAGAACACTGCATTTCATTAATTCACAACATCAAGGTGTAAAGCATTACAAATGGAAAATGGAGGGATAGACACCCACTCCAAATAACTAGACATAGAATCAGATAATCTTGCCTACAGATGAACAACTTAGTTCACTAATCTTCTAACAAAAAATCACGAGAGAGAAGCAAACCCTGTCATTAAAGACTTGCAATAAAAATACTGGTAATTCTTTAAAAATAGGAAAAATTCTCAATATCTACTTGTAACAAAGTTGAAGGAAGGGTGTTAGAACGCTATGCGGATATATAAGAGGCTCGTTAATAGGAGTGGATACAGTTCAGTTCTTAAATTGGCAAGTTCTTCATCGAAAAGAATAGAAACGTAAGTAAAATTCTCTCCTCACCAAATTTTGTGTAGTGAGTATGGATGAATATTGCTATAGTCTGTGTCACATAAAAAGATTCTTAGTTTGTTTTTTTATAGTTTAAAAATAATTTAAAAGCTAAATAATATTCTTAGAATCTAGAAAGGATATACATAGAATTTAATATGGAGTAAAGAGAAAAGTGAATTTTTTGAGTGACACTAATAATTTTTTTAAAATATTTTTTTTTGAAAACAAAATTATCATTTTTTAGAATGGATGAAAAAGAAAAAAAAGAAAAACTTTAAAGGGACTCACCCGAAACCTATCACTTTCACCTTTGGGAACTTGGAAGCAAATCAAGCAACTGCAGTATCCCAAATCCCAATCATCAAATCAAGGGTTTCGACATTCGAAATTCTTTTTCCCTCTTTTTTTACCTTCTATTTTTTGTTTTCTCAAACGCTATTAGATTAGATTCAACAATAAATATGAAATGTCCGACGGATGAAGGCCGCAGCGGCGGCGAATTGGGCGCCAGCAGGTGTTCGACGTCGTTCGAGGCGGGGGGAGGTCGACAGAGGTTCACGGTTGAGTTGAGACCCGGGGAGACAACAATCGTATCGTGGAAGAAGCTTCTAAAGGAGACAACTTTCCGTCAGCCCAAAAACAATGGGCCTGCCAGCCATGTCCCGAGCTCATCCGAACCTGCAGCTGAACTCCAACCACCTCTTCCCCAGCCCCATAATCAGTCCTCCGATAATCTCTTCCCTCAGGTAATTTGTTCGGTTAATTATGCACAGGAAGTACCTTTTTAATTGCTAGAATTTCGTCATGGTTCAGCTGTAATATGATGAGTATCAATTTGGTCTCTCTCTCACACACACAATGTTCTTTTTTTCGATTCAATTTCCCGTACTTCTTTTAATTGTCATTTCTTGGTGGTTGATGCAGAAACAACCTGATGCAAAGGAAGCTAAGGACCCTCCCCCTGGAAACCGTTTAAATGCTGTAATAGAGAAGATAGAGCGCTTATACGTGGTATAAATTTTTATTACTTGGAGCTTATCTTAGGTTGACATTAAGTGCGTGTTAACCATGACCAGTATGTATTTTAAGGTTGTCCATAGCTCAAATACAATATCTTTCGTGTGGGTAATCTGTGTTTGTTAAATGTTTCAACCAAATTGATGTTAATCTAATATGATAAACGATGATTCATAATTTTTAAGGGCAAGCAAAGTGATGATGAAGAAGATCTTGATGATGTTCCCGATGAAGATGAGTATGACACGGATGACTCTTTCATAGATGACACTGAGCTGGTATGTCACATTGCCCATTTTTTCCCTTCTTCGCTACAGCATTAGTAGTCTAGATGCCCATTTAAGGTTGTTTAGTTTGACAGGAGTGTAACACAGAACAAGGAATCACATGATCTTGATGTAGGTCATATTGAGTCTACTTGCCAACTGTGAGTGATTATGGTCTGAATATTGTGTTTCTAGGTTTATATCTGGCCATGGGTTGGGGTTAATAGCAAGTGGGATGGAACACCAGAAGATTTATATAGGGAAGAAATCTGGGCTTTGAACTTTGAAGTAATTTCAAAAGATTATCAGAAGACAAAGGAGACATATATCAAATGACTCAAGTGCACAAATTACTTAGGAAATACAAATTTGCTTCATCATAGTTTGTCATTTTTTAAAACTGAACCCTTTGGGTTTTGTGCTCATTTTGTCGATGGGGTTTTTAGAACAATGATTTTTCTTTCTTGGCTTGCAGGATGATTATTTTCAGGTTGATGACTCAGCTATAAAACATGATGGGTTCTTTGTCAATCGTGGGAAATTAGAACGGATGTACGTGCTCTTAATTTTATTAATACCAGAGTACTATTTTTCATGGATATCATTCGCTCTCTCTTTCAAATCAATTTCAACCATACACTTTTCATTTTTCACTTTTCAACACTCTTCCTAAACTTTGTGTTGTGTAAAATTGGAATTTTAATATGGGATGAAGTAATTTAATTTGTAGCAAATCTACTAAAATACTGGTTTTAAATCACATAATTACTTCTGTTCAGCATTAAGATGGTACTTATCACAGAAAAAAGATTATGATTCCATGTTACATAATCTCTTAAAGTATGTGTTAGAACATTCATCAACATTCCTCACTTATATATACAATCAAATAGATTTATGGCGCTTTGATATTTTTCACATGAGAGTGCATTTGTACCCATGTTTTCTGTATGCAAGGAACTCAAATATGTTCATATAACAGTTTCACATAAATGCAAAATATTGAACTTCCATTGCTTCTTACATTCTATGGAGTTTTGGGATGTAGATGCAGCAATGCATCATGGGTCCAACAGAAATGGACTCTATTTACCAGGGTTATATTGCATACATCTTGTCCCACAGACCCAAGGAAGTTGGGATTATTCTAGGTTCATTGTTGTTGATGATTATGCACATTGCCCATTACTTCACTTATCCCAATTTTTTAAAATTCTTAGTTACTACTCATAGTTAATTCAAGTGTTTCAGAATCAAGAAGTTAAGAAATCCTTTCAAAGAGTATTCTAACTAGTGATTTCATCACATATTGACTTCGTGCTTGAGAGCTAAATGTTTCCTACTTTAACCTAGTTGTTTGTGTATATATGTGTGCCTGATCCTGATATGCTTTTGATTATTTATTTCCTGTTAGTGAACCTACAGTACAACAAAATCAACAGCCAAATAAGCGTAGAAAGAAAGATCAAACCAAAGGTCTGTCTTTGAGTGATGATGGAGGTAATACAAACAAGCATGCTAAAGTAGGAAAGAAGGCTAGGAAACTCTTACCAAATGCTGCTGGAGCATCTAATCACTCTCATGGTGTGGTCTTGCCAACTCTGTGTGTCGAGAAGACTAATGTAAAAACTCAAGTGTGTACTACGTATTTGTTTTGTGAAACAAGAAATACATTACCTACTTTGTTTGCCCCAATTGATGAAACTTTCTTACAGGATGCAAATCTAGATCTGCAGAATTCAGAAGGACACCTTTCAAGAAAAGTTGTTGACAAATTGAAAGAAGGTTTTGAAACGTCTAACAAGAGGTTAAATGATAAAATTTCATTCCCACATGAAAAAGCTTCGGGAAAATATGCCATTATTTCCAACGGGTTAGATCAGTCTCTCTACAGGGGAGGAAAAAGTGGAATTGATGAAAGGCTAACCATGATAAGTGTTCCTGATGGGAAGAAGTCTACACAAAGTGCGGTAAGTAGCTTTTTCTTTTTATTCTATCAGTTATGCATGGTCAATACATACATATTGACATGCATGTACGTATGTATTACATGTGTTAATAATGTGTGTGAGACACAAATAAACACATCTTTACATGCTTGGACCCATGTATGGATTTGTTTGATTGGAAGTATATTAGAGAAGAAAAAAGTACTTATTGAGATAAAATTACAATTAAACTATTTAGAAAATAATGTGTATAGAAATGATATATGGAGTAATTATTAATAAGTACTCACCCCGTCCCAAATGGCTTTACCTCTTTACTATTACGACCTCTTGATAACCTTTGTTTGCATGTTTTTATTGATCATTTGATAAATTAAATATTCTTGTTACATCTTGTTTTGTAGAACTTTATTTTAGTTTTTGAAAACGGAGTACATAATTTTAATTTTTTATTTCTATACCAATTTGTAAATAAAATCATTTTAAAAGTCATAGGATCTTGCACAATCTTCAAAGAAGGCAATTCATTTAGGAACGCAGGGAGTATAATTTTTTTGACATTACAAATTTATTACAATTGAAATGTTAAATAAACTAAATATCATTGGAACGAGATGGAAAAACTAGGAGTTAAAAAATGTTGGAAGTTAAAAGTTAGATCTAAAAGAACAGAGCCATAGTACTCATTACTCCGTATTATATAAGGGTTATATAACATGCCTATTTGGATAAAATTTTACTTTTAATTTCTCCCTCTTTTGGTACCCAATTAGATATGATTTTGCGCTTTATTATTTGTACCCAAGTGTTTTTGGTAAAATAACAATAATAATATTATTATTTGGAATTTTTTATTTTAGTATATTTTGTACTTAAGTTAGAAGTTTCCATTTAGATACCTTGGTAAAGGGAAAGAAAATATGAAATGCAAAGAACAAAACAATTTTCTTCCCATTTCACTTCAAAAGTGAGGGGATTTTTTTATAACTTAGTTTCAATTTCTTTCCCAATTCTTTCCCATTTTCTTCTCAATTGCTCTCCAACCAAACAATGAAATTTTTTGTATTTCCTTCCCATTTTCTTCCTCCCCCCTCACTTCCTTCCTGCTTCTCCTCAAACAAGCATAGCCTAACATATTGTGCATTTGTGCATGAGTTTGTGGTTTGATCATCCATCATCTAATGCCCTCACATTTTGTTGTTTGTGTTTTAAATTTTTGCTACCTTATATTCCTTTAAGAAGTCCATGTTTCTAGATTTAAAGGTGAGATATGTTGTTTTTCTATGCAGAAAAAGGATGGTGGATCTAATGTGAGATCAAAGATTTCAGCGCTTGAGAAGGCCATTAGAGACTTGGAGAAGATTGTCACAGAGTGTATATTTTGTTGCTCATTATTCTTGTGACTTCATTTTTTTCATCTTCGTACGCATGGATCATATTTATACAGAGTATAACTTTACAATGCACTAAATGCAGTAAGGCCACCTATGGTTGAAGTTCAAGATGGTGATAATGCGTCTCAATCTATCAAAAGGAGACTACCGTTAGAAATAAAGCAAAAACTGGCAAAAGTCGCTAGATATGCGGTAGTAAATGTGCCACCATAAATATGTTCATAACATTTTCGGATCTGTTTCTAAACACTTGTTACTTCAGCCTTCCTTTTAGATTTTCCTGATAAATTTCTGATGTCTTTTTGGGTGGCCGCAGCAGGCAAGCCATGGAAAAGTATCTAAAGAGTTATTAAATCGTCTAATGAGCATTGTTGGCCACTTGATACAGCTCCGGACATTAAAGGTACTGAATTCTCCTATTCAAGGATCATAAATACTGCTCCTTAAGTCCTTATCATAGCTAATAGCTATACTTTCCTGAACCCAACAGCACAGTCTGTTTTTTATTTAATCTGATGGAGTAACAACCACAAGCGCACAAAAGTGCAGATGAAAGTCGTTATTTCATAAGAACAGACAAAGTAGCTAAAGATACTAAGTAAAATTTCTGTGCTTCTCATTTTCAATCCTAATAACCTCATTAGATAATCATACAAACATATTGTCACATATTTTCAATTCTAAATTGTTAATACAGTTGTTGTTCGGTTAATCTCATATTGCATAGCAGACATAATACATTATACAATAGTAACATACTCTACCTAAGGTTATATAATTCTTTTTGGGGACAGAAATGATTCAAAAGTGAATGAAAACATCACAAACTTGTCCAATATACAAGTCTTGTACTTTTCAAAAAATATCAATGACTTAATAAAAAACTCCATAACTAGTCCAGGTGTCAAAGAGCCTAGGGTCAGGTAGAAGGTGGGATATCAACTGCAGCAGTGTTGGATGGAAGATAGGACTACCAAAACTATAGATAGAGTGGGGATGTATACTTTCATATTGAAAGCCTCTATTGCAGTTTGATGCTCCGTATAAATTTATGTATAAAAAAGACAAGGCAAATTTCTGTGATAAGATATATCTAAT